CTGTCTCTCTCTCCCTCCCTCTCCCTCCCTCTCTCTCTCTCCCTCTCTCTCTTCCTCTCTCTCCCTCTCTCCCTCCCTCTCTCTCTCTCTCCCTCTCTTCCTCTCTCTCCCTCTCTCCCTCCCTCTCTCTGTCTCTCCACCTACCTCTCTCTCTCCCTCCCTCTCTCTCTCCCTCTCTCTCTCTCTCCCTCTCCCTCTCTCTCCCTCTCTCTCTCTCTCTCTCCCTCTCTCTCCCTCTCTCTCTCCCTCCCTCTCTCTGTCTCTCCATCTACCTCTCTCTCTCCCTCCCTCTCTCTCTCTCGCTCTCCCTCTCTCTCCCTCCCTCCCTCTCTCTCTCTCTCTCTCTCTCCCTCTCTCTCTCTCTCTCTCTCTCTCTCTCTCTCTCTCTCTCTCTCTCTCTCTCTGTGGTCTGACCAGCTGGGTGGAAAGAATCACTTGTTTATCCCTCCTGCTGTCTGTCAGGGGCTTTTTGCTTTGCTGTTGCATAGCAACTGCAGGAGAAGCCGGCATCGGCAGTTTACTGTGTGTGTTGCTGTGAGTGTGTGTGTGTGTGTGTGTGTGTGTGTGTGTGTGTGTGTGTGTGTGTGTGTGTGTGTGTCAGAAAGAGAGAGAGTGCAGGCTGTAGACAGACGCGTGCCGCCCTCACCGCTCCCTCACATCCTGAGTGCCTGCCAGCCTTTGTGTGGCTCACGGTGGAGATCAGACACACACACACACACACACACACACACACACACACACACACACACACACACACACTTAGTATTGTACTGTTCAGAGACTCACACAAGTACACACTCCAGACGAAACAGAGACCTGCTGATCCCACCGTCGCTCTACATCTCATTGACTGCTAAACAATTTTCTCTTCAATGGTTGGTTTTTAACCCTTTCATTCCCAGTCTATTGATTTAAATGACCGGTTTAAAAGGTTGTTTAAGTGAAAGTGTTTTATTTCTACTGTTTTGTTATATATGTATGAATCGTAGAAGTTGACTTAGTGTGGATTCAAAGTCCAATAAAATCATGTCATATCATTCCATTTTTACCACAAACACAAAGGTTTGTCCTCCATTTCCCAACCTCTTCCATCCAATTTGATTTAGTTTACATTCAAATATTTAATAAAAAGTCTTATCACGCAAACACACATATTTTGCTCAAGTCCATTTGCCATTTATCAAAAGCCACCTTTAACTGATCAGATATGACTGTCGAACAATAATTGTGATTTCTGCACCTACAAAGTGCTAGTCTATCACCTGAGCAGATCAGTTATCATCTTAAAAGGCTTAGATAATGACCAACAACCAACAACCTCCTCATGCTCATCGTTTAGGAACACCAATCTTTATTTGGATATACAGTGTTTCCCCTACCATTATATTGACCCCTGAAGGTCAAGTTTTTAAAGATTTATTTTTGGGCTTTTTGTGCCTTTATTGTAGGGATAGGATAGTGGATAGAGCTGGAAATCAGGGAAAGAAGTCATTTAAGGATACCTTTCCAATGAAAATGACATCTGTCATTAAAAATAACACATGAACACCAAGATTCCTTCAAGTGTTTGTGTTGCCGTGTTGGCATGTCAGCTTGTCCCCACCCCCCAACGCTGTAAACCTAGGGGAAACACTGATATAACTTGTTTTGTGTGCGCTCTTGTAGGACCATTTGGGACTGCGTAATCATCAACCACTATCAGAGCAGCAAACTCTCACAGATGACGGACTTTAAATCATGAAAGAAGAAACGGTTAATTACATTATTTAAGCAGCTTGAACCAAAGTTGCATCTTTCCTTAAAGGTCTCATATTCTCCTCTTCTTCAACCAGTTTAAATAAGTCTCAGAGCTCCTCAAAACATGTGTGTGAAGTTTCTTGTTCTAAATCCACTCTGATCCTGTATTTGATCATGTCTATAAACCCCTCTATTTCAGCCCTGCTCAGAACAGGCTGTTTCTGTGTCTGTACCTTTAAATATGTAAATGAGCTGTGTCTGACCACGCCCCCTCTCTGGAAGGTGGCTTCGTCTTCTCGCTCCATGTCCTATTGTTTACGGTGAGAAGGCAGACTCAGAGGTCAGAACAAACACCTAGCTGTGGGAGTGTCACCCACCTGGGGGAGGGTCTACTGCCCTTTGTGATGTCATGAAGGGAAAATCTCCAAACGGCCTGTTTGAGCACACATTTTCTGAAAAGTGGAGCAGGCAGAAGACGGAGAGGATAGACTTTTCTCATCATTGGGGGGTTTGTAGACAGACAAGGGACATATATTAGTGCTAGAGAAACATGGTGAAGTGTATTTTGTATAATATGTGACCTTTTAATAAATAACTATACATTATTTGATCGTTTGATGATTGGGTGCTGAATTGTTCATATTTTTGACTCCAACGGACACAAGCTGTGTGTCTTATCTCTCTGCTGATTTAGTCCCGTTCATTTATAAAACAAAGTTTATACAACTAAAAATCTCATCCTGCTTACTTTTATTAGTCAATTCACTTATTCTAAGAATCTATTCTGTTGAAGTGTGGTGGGGTGGGGAAGTGTTTTTGAGGTGTCACCAGGCTAGTGAACGGGACTGGGCCTTAAATTGTGGATGGGCTTTTATTCAAAGTTTTACAGTAAATAGAAATGATCAGACTTTCTGCTGATGACTGTGTTTGCTGCTGTTGCTCACAAAGAGGCATCATTATTCATTTCAGTCTGTTACATAACCAGTTTAGAGCTTCAACAGTCATCATAGGATTAATATTTCACAATGCAACTCTCGTTTAGCAGAGCTTCATCTCCAAGGACGACGAACACACATTAACTGTAGATTCTTTTTTTATCTCACAATGATAGTGTGTCTGTCCCTGTAATGTCTTCCACCGTGAGCTCCAACATATGCTGCGTCTTCAAGTTCAAGAGAAGCTCATTACCTTTCAGCACCACATCTCATCTTGCATCATCACCCCCTTCTCCTCCCCTCTCTCCTCCCCGCACCTCCCTATTTGGAGGCAGTCACATGCATCCATGTGCAGAGAGATGCTGGGAATATTTCTCCCTCTTTTGGAAGCGCCACTTCAGCAATCTCAACGTGTGTGTGTGTGTGTGTGTGTGTGTGTGTGTGTGTGTGTGTGTGTGTGTGTGTGTGTGTGTGTGTCTGTGTGTGTGTGTCTGTGTGTGTGTGTGTGTGTGTGTGTGTGTGTCTGTGTCTGTGTGTCTGTGTGTCTGTCTGAACCTTTCTTCCCCTTCCTCACAGTCGGGAAGGTAGACACGTCTCTGGGCATGTGCAGACACGTCCTGGCATGAGTCGAGCTCCTCCTCCACACCGCCTCCTCCTGTTCAACTTCACCTCATTGGTGAAGCTAAGTGGATGTTTTGTGAGCCTCAGTGCCCTCATTCTCAGTTTTTTCTCTCTCCCCCCACTGCTGTTATTATCCCTCATGTAGCTGGATTAATCACAGCGCTGGCTCCTGCAGCAGCGTGCAGATAGAGAGCAGGATGACGGGGGATGAATCGGAGCGTGTTGTCTGCAGCACAGCTCACCTCGGATGACTCTCGACAGCAGCAGCAGGAGCGAGTGTACATGTCTGTCTGCGGGCGATGACGCTTCCCCGGCCCCCCCTGTTATAAATACTGTATCTCGCCCTCTCTCGGCACCGGCTGACCTCACTTTACATCAATCAAGACCTCAATCCTCTCCGTTTCCTCCCACAATCCCCGGCGATTGCTCTTCCTCCCTGTGTCTGTTGAGTTATTTAGCTAATGGGTCGCTTTTACACCGTGTGCATGTTAATCATGAACCATGACATCACAAGGCTCCTTTGATTCCTCCATGTTGGAACTCATCTGTCACCCGTGTGACCTCGCAGTGATCGGTCAAAAAGTGAAGTTTACTGGAGCTGCAGCAGACTGAAGGCATCACAGACCCTCCGTGTTAGTAGAAGGAGAAGAAGCCACATCTGCTGCTCAGTCCATGTGTTTCTGAAGGACTTTATCAATGCATGCTGGGAAAATTATTTTGTACCCGGGGCATAATTATTCTAAATTTACAACTGACTTCATTGTTAAGCATATTCTTCTCTTAGTGCATTAAGGTTGTTAAATGCAACATGTTCTTTAAACATCAAACACAATCGTTTGTAGTTTGGCTCTGATGTTACTATAGATGCACTCTGTCAGATTATTGACCATGTTTGAAGGTGAAGAAATTTTATGGGGATGATAAAGACGGGTAATGTTGCTTTAATCTATCGAGTCGTACAAACGGAAGGTGGAAGTGTCCCTCTGAAGCTGGGCTCACACCGTTTGATTTCAGGCCGATTGTAACCCCATTTTTAAGTTACACAACTGATTGTCAAGTCCCACAGAATTGTGTGCATTTTGCCGCGCAATGTACACAAATTCTGATCATGGCCCAGTCAGCTGACCGGACCAGTCGGATGAATACATGGCATTGTTAAAAATTTTGTCGTATGACCTTTTTACACTCGTGCTGTCCTTGAGCAGAGGGGGGTTTGAGGTGTGTCTCTGGAAGAGCTGAGGCTTCAGAATAGCGGAGGTGTGGCCAAACAGCAGTTCCAGTTTTGGTGTCATGATGTTGCTCCAAGGCCACATCTACTGGATCAAAAAGGTTTACATTCTTCCTTTAAAGGGGGTCTGCCTCCAATCAGATTTGTCTATATGAACCTCCTGTTGGCATGTTGAAATGTCCTGAAGCCTGTGAGTGAATTAATGAGAGTGGCCTTGGGTGTGAAGTGTGTGCACTCCATTTTCTAATGTATGTCTTGCCAACTGAGAGATGTTTCAACTTCATTTGATGTACTGTGTGGGTGTCTTTGCAAAGTTTTTCAATTTTCTGCAATTTTTTTTACTATTGGACACCAGTGTGTGAGTTTTTGGGAGAACAGCAGAGGATTTGATCTTTGATCTTATGCAAAAAGGAAACAAAGGTTTATTGGTGGTGTAAAAAAGCTTTAAAATATATTTTGTTGCTCTTTTTGTGCTGCAGGTCAGAAAACATGTCTCCACCTCCACGGCGTCTTCCCTTATATCTACATCCCATACGATGGCTACAGCCAGCAGCCAGAGCGCTACCTGCGGCAGGTGGCCTTCAGCATCGACAGAGCCCTTAATGTTGCCATGGGAAACCCCGCCTCTAATGCCCAGCACGTTTTCAAGGTGGTGCTTGTCTCTGGCATGTAAGTACCTACTTCAGCACAAACAAATGAAATATTGTCCAGGTTAATTTGCACTTTGATAACTGCGTTCATTTTTCTTGTCTTGCAGGCCGTTCTATGGCTACCACGCCAAGGAGAAGCACTTTATGAAGATCTATATGTACAATCCTCAGATGGTCAAAAGGTAAGGTTACTGCAGATCGATTCAGTTAAACGTGAACAGGGCTCGTCCCCCACTGCAGTTGTTTGATGTTACTGAGAGCCAGACTGTGTGCGCATGACTCTGCCAGCCCACTAAACGGAAATCGATGGTGTGTGTGTGTGTGTGTGTGAGTGTGAGAGTGTGTGAGTGTGTGTGTGTGTGTGTGTGTGTGAGTGTGTGTGTGTGTGTGTGTGTGGTTCTCGCTCAGCAGCACACAGGCAGACTGTGAATTATTGGACAGAGCAATCAGTGTTAGCAGTGATGCTGTGAGTAGGGCGCTGCTGCTGAGTACAGCGGAGAGGTCCACAGACAGAGAGAGAGAGAGACGAGATGTAAGGATCTAAATAACTGTACGTTTTGAGAAAGAAAGAGGAATAAGAGTGAAAGGAGACAGTCTGAGAAAGAGAGCACACAAGGAACCACGGCAAAGACAAGCCCCAAACAGGGATTCAGGGACAACAGACAGTGAATGATAAAAGAAGAAAAAGATGTGAGCGGCACGAGTGTGTCTGCCCCTCCCCTCACCCTTCTCGTCTCTGATCAGTCTGTCAATCAGTCAGCACGCTGCTCTGACCTTTAAAGGGGAAACATGACTCCAGGACGGAGCTCAAGGATTCACAGAGTGAACTGAGACCCATTCATCTTCATCTACCGTCACCATGCATGCTGTGTCAATGTGAGGCTCCCCTGTGGTGAGGGACGCTTCTGGACGACTGGGTCTTCAGTTAAAACTCTGGATTTAAATTTACAGCTTCCCTGATTTAAAATAATTCAATAAATAACTGAAAAAGTCAGGTTGACCTTTAAAATCAGAGGTTCTGTCTGCTGTGGCTCTGAGGAGGTTTCAAGGAGCACATCAAGAATAAACTGTGCACAACATGCACAAAGAAAAAGTCTGAGGAAGAGACTCTAACAGGACTTTCACACCTGCAGAAAACTCCTGAAAAATATTTGCAGAAGGATCTGTATGTGTGAACGCCAAGAGCCGGGTCTTTCACTCGGACTTCACCCGGAGTTTCTCCTGGCAGACGACTAGTATCCTATTTCTGCACAGGATATTCTCGGGATAATTCAACTTGAGCCAATGGGAGGTGGGGGGGGACATTTATACATCGTAAATGCATTGCTAGAAAAACAGGCTTGTAAGGGAAGAGCTGTTGGGCCATGTTGCATGCTCCCCGATCTGCTCAGAAGAAAATCAGGACGCTCCCGATTGGACGTCAGAAACCCTGTTGTATCAGGAGAACACAGAGGACGGCCGAGCACGCACTCTGAGAATTATCTTGTGGAACGGAACAATAGCCAATCAGGACGCAAGCTGACTGAAGCAGTAAGCACAACTAAGGTAACCATGGCGACGACAGCAATCGTGAAAGAAATGTGGTTAAATGTGTTGACCTGTGAGTGTTTATACGTGTCTGTCAAACAAACAACTGACGAGGAACAGAGCTGGACCGACTCTGTTACCGTAACAGATCAACCAGGTAGCTAACAGCTAGCCACAGTTAGCTTGACCATCATGTACGAGGTTTGAGAGTAGAGACTCTGGTTGTTGGTGAATGAATCTGTGTGTGTGTGGTGTGCTGAGCTATAAGAACTGAACTGTTACATCTGTCATGATTTGTCTTCATGTGTCGGCTCTCTCACATCTTTGAGTGTGTACCAGGCTTTACCGCTGTTAAAGATTACAGTTTGTATTTTTACAATATGAAGCTCAGTGTCTGTCTGTATGAAGCTGACTTCACCTGGAAGAAAACACAAACACAGCGGTTTGCTTTCAAGATGAAAATCATCGTATGAAATCACAGCAGCTCAGTCGATAACATCTGTTTGTTGTTGTTGTTGTTGTTGTTGTTGTTGTTGTTGTTGTTTTCTCCTCTGTCTCATCTGCAGCTTTAGTGTCACAATAACTTGTGTGTGTTGTAGGGTGTGTGAGCTGTTACAAAGTGGAGCAGTGATGAACAAGAGCTACCAGCCCCACGAGGGCCACATCCCTTACCTGCTGCAGCTCTTCATAGACTACAACCTGTACGGCATGAACCTGCTCAACCTGGGCGCCGTCAAGTTCCGCAGGAGCCAGAAAAAAGGTAAGAGAGCGAGAGCTTGGCCGTTTAACTTACAGGTATGTAGAGTAGAGAAAGGCTGGCAGTCGTGACTTGGGGTACATTAACCTTTGGTACGTTTCGAGAATCCTCTCTTTGTTTCCATCTTTAAAGTTGACCTCTCTGGGCACCAGTAGCCTGGTGGTTTTGTTATGTGCCCCATGTACAGAGGCTGTAGTCCTCATCGCAGCAGCCATGGTTTCTAATCCGACCTCGGCCCTTTGCTGCATGTCCCATTTTTTCCTGTGTCTCTCTTTCCTGCTGTCCTCTCCAATAAAGGCCCAAAAAATATCTTTAAAAAAAATCAAGTTGGCCTCTCTTGACTTTGCACGTCTTGTTTTGTGGCCTCTTTCCTCGACTTCTCTTCATTTCCTTCTGTTGTTGTTGTTGTTTGACTTGAACCGTCTCTCCTCTCTCTCTCTTTTGTTAACCACATCTTTCTGGTCCAGTTTGGCCGCTTGGTTTATTTTCCTTGCTGCATCCTTTGAAGGCAAAAAAATCAAATTTGAGGAAAGCTCAGCATCAGAAAGCTTTCACAGAAAACATACTGAACCAGGAGGTGTGAGGACAGAAGAAGAAGAAGACACAGATATTGAGTGTGGGGAGTGAGATCTTTGCAGTCTTGTGGGTCTTTGTCTTTGAGAGAGAGAGAGAGAGAGAGAGAGAGAGAGAGAGAGAGAGAAGCTACAGGTCGGATACAAATCCAGCCCGCCTGCTTGGAGGACTTTAGCCTCCATACATGACGACAGCTCTATGCTCACTCAAATCAATGTTTTCACCCTTGTTTTATTTGGTCGCCCGTTTGCATGCCCTCTCCTCAGGCATTCCCAGCTGTTGTTTTCCCAGATGTGCTCAGGTGGTTTTTGGACTACGACGCGTCTCTGTGTTCGGCCCCTAAGTGTGTGCTTCCTCTTGAATAGTGGGCACTCAGGGTTTGCTCTTCAGCTGTGACCCTTAGCACTCAGTGGGCCTCCCAGTGGGAGTGGCAGACAGAAGGTTGGATCCTCAGATCCTGGGTGAATCTGACCCTCAACAAACTCGACTTCACTTCCTCCTCATGGAGACTTAAACCCTTGATTTCCAGCTCTGTTTGATCCCAGCTTAGTCCTAATCTGAGACCGGTACCCCCGCTCATCATCGCTGATCGTACCCCCCCACACACACACTCCCAGAGAACAGAGGAGAGGCTCCTCCACATGTGAGGACATTAACGATTCAGGACAGGAAATTCCTCACTCCATTTTAATAAAGTTCTTTTTTGTGCAAAATCCTCACGCTTGACTCTCCTCCGACAAAAAGCAGCGCTCCCATGTTTGATCCACCTCTACTCTGATGCAATCAACGGAAAGTTCTCCTGTGTCCCGGACAACAAAGACACTCCAACGCCCCAATAATGGCTACACCTGTTTACATTTCCTCCTCCCCTCCAGCTTCCACTTGAAAGCCAGTTCTTAATCTGGGATCAAGTAGGGGGATGATAAAAGGGGCTGGACTGGTGAAAAGAGGCCTCTTTAACATCAAAAAGAAACTTTAAAGGGTTTTTAAGTCACCTTCACGTCTCAAATCTCACCTCAAAAAACAACAAGCAGGCTGTGTTTTTAAAAAGACTGAGAAAGGAAACTGATATCTGCAGCTTCTTATTTTAATTGTGTCTCAAAGTGTCCCTTCAGAGGGAGCTCTATTCAGACTTCTGTTACTACCTCTGAAGACGGTACAGAGAGGGGATCACTTCGTACCCTCATTTATTTGAAGGCTAAACGTCACAGAGGCGTCTGAACAGAGCTGCTCTCTTTCTAAGAAGTTGTTTCATTCATTGACTGCAGGATGTAAAAACACTTCTCTCTAAATGTTTTAAAATCAAGTTTTGATCGTGTCTTTCTTGCTCTTCTGGAGTCTTTAACACCTTCTCTGTGTGTGTTTTCCCAGAAGACGCTGCTGCAGCGAGCCCAGACAAACAGACTCCCAGCATCAGCCCCTGGAAGAGCCCCTGCACCTCCAAACTCAATGACAGCACCCTGGGGGGCACGTTTGTCCGCTGGGAGGAGAACGCCATACCCTGGTAGGTGTCACCCCGCTTGGCCTCGGCTGCACAGTTTCTTACTTTACTACAGCTGTCATGATCGAGCTGCTCTCAGCGTCATCTCTCTTTGTCTTAAACGCATAAAACACTTCCATTTTGAAAACATTTATAAGATACAACCCTTTGTTTTGTTTTATTGAACTATTTTTAGTTTTCCACACACACAGAATGTGACTTACAAAAAGAAGCTCCTTACTTTATACATACGACTTCAAACTGAGATGGTTTGACAAAAGTCTTCATGCATCCTAAATCTATCTATTAAGCTGTTTGCACATATTTCTACACTACAAAAGTTACTGTAAACTAAAACCGCTCCATCTTGAAGCATTTTCATATCTTTTTTGTGTTCTTTGTGTCTGCCTGCAGCTCTCTGGTCCTGGACGAGGTGGAGAAGCAGAGCACGTGTGAGCTGGAGGTCGATGCTGTGGCTGTGGACGTCCTCAACCGGCTGGAAATCGAAAGTAAGCACCCCCCCGAGGATGTCCAGTCCCCCACCCTGTCAGTCACAGTGTTATAGCCCACTCTGAGTGCTGCATGAATGAGACAGAAAAGGTGAAAGGTTTCCTGCTGAATCATCAGCTCGGAAGGTGCTGCAGCACGTTTGGCAGGGATATTTTGATGAAACACAGGTACATCCCCCACAGTCTCTACACATCAAATCCATTAGCAGCCCTGAACGTAAACAGTGCGGCTCTGACCCATCACCTCCTGTCAGAGAGGAGCCGAGAGAGGAAGAGATTAACATGTGAAGATGGAGAATTCACCAGATTGACAAAGAGATCTGAAGCAGACAGTGTTTCCTGATGGAGCCATGCACACCTTGAAGAGGTATCTTATGTGTTTACCCTTCAGCATTTAGTGACAGTGTTTTTGATTTTATGCTTTTTAAGTTTGAGTTGATGTAAAGCCAGGTTTGTTTTATTGTACTGAGGAAACAAGAGCCCATCCTCACACTCACATTTTTCAGACCGAAAGTGTGAAAACACAAAGTCACTGCAAAGACCAGAGACACTAGTTTAGTTTCAAATATAAAATTCATGATGTTTATTAATAACTGCAGACGAAGCACGAAGGCCGTCTTTCAACAAATCTGTCAAACTGAACTCCTGTCCATCCGTACAAACGAGAGGCAGCTGGACTCGTTGGTTTTCAGATCTTTTTCCTCCTTTTTTTCTCCAGTGGGAGCCGACCACAGAGCAGCTGTGCTTCTATATGATGGTGCAGTTTAACGCTGGCAGGGAGGATTTCTTGGTTTAACAGTCAAACATTTGTCCTCCACATGAAGTCTGCTGGTGTAGCTTTAAAAGAATCCTGCACGTGTGGTCAGGATGAGGCCTCAGGTCACTGAGGCGGAGCCCTTCATTCTCAAGCTTTTGTTTGTTTGGTAAACACTGTACAGGACCTTTTGATCTCCATCAAGCTGAATGCAAAGACATGAATTACAGAATAACTAGGAGAGGAACGGAGAGGCGGCTCCAGGGCAGCGCAGCTCGTGTTGTGACTCATACTTTCCCGTCTGCTCTGTACGCTATAATAACGGCACAGCTGGAAATAGAACTACAGCATGTATGGTTAGAGTTTGATTGGTTAGGTCTGGCACTGACTTGTTTGTCTCTGTTATGATCCACATTCATAAAAAAGAAAATCAAAGAAGTCTTTGTTGATCATGAAAAAAGCTGGGTGATAATAAAGCATGAAGGAAGAGTCAGTTGACGCCGTGTGCTGTGACTCTCCTCTGTGTCCAGATCAAATCGGCAGGAACCCCGGCCTGCAGGCCATCTGGGAGGACGAGAAGCAGAGGAGGAGAGAGAAGAACCATGCGTCCCAGATAGAAACCCCAGAGTCACAAGGTGAGAACGTTCACAGTACACACTCTGTTCCCGTCTGAACCCTTCAGAGCAAAGACACTCTTTCTCTTCAGTAGTTAGTTAGCACTGATTTAACTCAAAGGCTGCTGGCAGAAATGTTGTAACGAGATTGTAGATACCAGAAACATACCCGATGTCATAATTAATCTTTTTCTTATTGTCAACAAGATTCCTGCGAAGGTTGGCGTTACTTATGTGTTGTACTGTGTCTTTAAATCTCCTGACTTCCCTGAGCTCCTCAGATCATACTGAGAAAATAAACATTCAGCCACAAATATACAGTGTCCAATTTTAACAAATTACGCTTTTTTTTATAACATTTTTCGCCATTTATCGGAAAGTAACACTTGTCTAAAAGATTTATAATGAAGGGAAGATGGTCACTTGACTGGAAAGTAACTGCGCGTGAACGTGCATCACCGCTTCACTATCTGGAGAGTGATAATGCTTGTTGTAATCCATATAGCGCCCTCTGCTGGTGAAAGAACTGCTAGTGTAACACAATGATACTCAAATTAAATGCTTTTTGATTGGTGAGTAAATCTAGTAACATCGGCACATATCTGAGATAAAATTAGCCGATAGTTACTGGATATGCTAATATCGGCCGGTATTATCAGCTTGGTGATAAATCGGTCGGGCTCTAGCGTTGGATTAGAAGCATCTCTGCAGACAATGTTGCTTGGCACGGTACAATTCAGCTGAGCCTTGTGTGAGTGCGCCCTTTGAGTTTTGACAGTGTTTGAAGCTCATTTAAATTCTTGTCTGACTTGATGAATTGTTTCCCTCTGTTTTGACGATCGTTAGCTTGTTATAACATCTGTCTTAGTTTAGGTTTTAAGCACTGTTCACGTGGAAGACAGTACTGACGTTTTCCATGACCACACACTCAGAGAATCATCAATTTTACAAAATGTCACTACTGCCATCTCAGGCTGCCTTTTTAAGCCACGATACTTACGGCCCTGTGACATTTCTCCTTCAATGTGAATGTCGTGGAGGCGTAATGGTGGGATGAAGTGATCCCCCCTCTGTGCTGTATTTAGAGGTAGTAACAGAGGGCGTTACAGGGGTGAGACAGGATCAGCAGAGACAGCGGGGGGAGTGCGTGTGCGTGTGACTGCTGAGATGCTGAACAGAAATGAGAATTCACAGACTGGGACACCAATATATTCACACTGTTGCAGAATCAAAATAAATGTATAAAGATGTGAAGTGGCTGAGCGTCAACGGCAGTCCAAAAAGAGCTAATGATGTGTGACTGGTGACATGACTTAATCTTTTCACCACAAAAAATATACCCTCTGAGATGTCATGGAAACAAAGTGACAGATGATCTGATCTGCTGTGTTGTTCATCACAATGTGTTTGCTTCTGTATGTCAAGACCGACGTACAGATATTCTGAGTTCCCAGCTCTGAGAAGTTTACAGAGAGGAAAAGAAACTGTCCCGGATCTCACAGAGATTTCACTTTGAATCACAGAAACTTTCCAAACAGCTCTGGTGTGTTTAACTTCATCTGTCCAGTTTTAGTGTTGTGATTAAGACTCCACAGAAACAACAAGCGCCCTTAACCCTGATTACTGACCAAAATGTTTTCATTAGAGCCAAGAATGTGACGCCTGGAAACACTCTTTTCATTCAGTCTGACAGTTCCCAGCACTATAAATAAAAAACTGCTTTATTGAAAAAGTCTGTGTGATGTTTTTACAGATCGAGGGAGTGTCACTTCAACCGAGAGCGAGCAAATCTTCATGAGGAGATTCAAGGAGATTCTGAAGGAGAACGAGTTTGACGTGTAAGTCCTTCGTCTTTCCTTTTGATCTATTGTCGGCTTGACAGTTTGGGGCGGGAGTGACGGGACTGGGCAGATGTTTCAGGACGTACTAGATCTGAAAGTCATCAGCGGACAATGAGGAAGGTCTGAGCAGCTGGCAGAGAAACAGTGTTTGAATATGAGCACAAGATGCTGCCAGTCAGTCCTCAGTTCACCCCATGTCTAACAACCTCATGTCAATATTTTTCTTCCTCTTCCTAGTCTCTGTTCTCAGCTTAGTTATGTTATTGTATCACGTCAAATGTTTCACAGCTCGGTCCATCAGTTTGTTCTTCAGACTTGTTAGTTTTCTTTTTTATGCTTTGAGATGAGCACATTATAACTTATGTGTTGTTAAAAGCACCAAATTCTGATAAATGGAGCTACCGTAAAACTTCTATTAGTAGCCCAGGCTTGTGTTTCCTTCAGTCCATGAAATGACACTGCCTTTGTTTGGGACAAACGTCAGAACAAGACAGGCCTTTCATTATATTCAAACAAAACTTGTGCACAGCTTTGATTGGAGAGACTATGAAATGTCTTGAAACAGGGCTTAAGATACTAAAACTGTTTTAAAGAGCAATATGTAACTCTGACACCTAGTGTTTAAAATGGGTATTGCAGTCCAAATTCAAAACATTGGAGAGAGCTCCCCCCCCCCGTTGCCATGTGGTGGACACTGTAGCTTCAGTGTTTATCCAGCTCTGCATGGGTCTGTAAACCTTTCTGTGTTCTAACCTCTCTCCATTTTTCTAAATCATCTCCAACATTGATCCTAGTTTGAGCACGTTTCTGCTCGTGGAGCTTATTAGAAACATGCAGAGGCTTTTTAGGTCGGGTACAATCACTTCTATCTGAACCACTTCTCTTGTCCCGCTTCCATCACTGCAACACCTGTTGACCTGATAACTGCTCTCATATCTGACAAACTGAGGGGCGTCCAAAACGGCCGTGTGGGGGTGCCTTAAAACCACCTACCTTCTCTGGTCCAAACAAATCCAGAGCCTTCAGGAGCAGAATCTAAAGTTAGAAGGAGGACATACTGGCTGCTGCATTGTTGTCAGAGAAGACAGCACTTCAACATAGCATGTTTCCTGTCTGATCATATCATTTCATTTCATTCTAACAGATTGGTCCATGAGTCACTTTAAAACTTAAATAAACTAAAGGTTTCTCTGTCCTAACTGAGAAATTCAACCTGTTGAATTGTGAATGATTTCCAGAGCTGATGATCAAACATCTGAAATCAATGGTTATTTTTTATGCCTTTACTCAGTAAGCATCCAGCTGCCTCTCCAGCCTCTGATGTCGGTAAAGATACCTTTATCATTTCATTAACTAAAGCTCTGAGAGGTGGAGGTAGTTAAAGCTGCGGGTTTAAGACATAGGAAGCAAGGATGGAGAAAGTGAAACAAAAACAGATGTAGTGAGGGGGGGGGGGGCAGGCCTAGTGAAGAAATAGGGGAAGGAAAGAACCCCCTCCCTTCCACACCCTCCTCCTGCTACTCCCACAATGTACAGGCATTTCCTGTTATAAATAAAAGTACAGTCAGCTCGGCAGCCTTGTATCAGATCCAGATGGCTCCTATTCACGAACCTCTGATGTGAGACAGGAGCAGAGGAGAGGGGAGGAAGTGTGGTGGGTGAGCCTGCCTCCCTGCCTCAGTCCCCCCTCTTTAAATACTCACACAGTCTATCACTGCCTGTGTGGCTGCTTTCTTTTACTCTGATATGCACAACGCTGATTCTCAAGGACTCACTCAGCGCTCAAGGCTTTGTTGGAAATTTCTCATTTTCTCATTAATGTGTTTTACAGTCTTCCTTTTGCTTCACAAAAACATCTTCAGTACTATTTATAAACACACTTATTCTTTTAACCCAGCACGCCATGGCTCATTTGATACTGAACAGTGGGGGAACACACATTAAATGCATTTTGAAGAAGATTTTGTGATTCACAGAATAATTAAGTATGTTTTCACACCATCCTTCAGATTCTGGGTCTTTCCTCACTCTGCAGCTGAAACACAACGCTGGTAGTGGTAGTTAGCACTTCAACATGGCATGTTTCCTTAAAGGTCACATATTATCCTCTTCTTCTGGAAGGACTTGGGTGTCTCGGGCTTTCTCGCTTCATGTCCTATTGTTTACGGTGAGAAGTCAGACTCAGAGGGCAGAACAAACACTTAGCTGTGGGAGCGTCACCCACCTGGGGGAGGGGCTACTGCCCTTTGTGATGTCATGAAGGGAAAATATCCAAATGGCCTGTTTGAGCACATATTTTCTGAAAAGTGGAGCAGGCACTTTTTCTGTCTTTATTTTTAGAATCCTGAAAAACAAAATTATCCAAAACGACTTCTTTAGACCACAAAATGAGTTGTTAAGAAGACAGAGACCACTCAACATTTGGCAGGATCATTTATTTCTCAGGATTTTATCACGTTGGTGTGCTCACTGCATAGTTTTGAATCATCACAAGAAGTGGGAAGGTACATCTATCTATCCATCCCTTAACTGTACCACTCCAAACACAAAAGCTTCTGTTTGACGGACTCTTTCTATTTCACCCTACTCAGACTCCCCTTCAGCGAGGGGGGCGTGGCATGGAAGAGAAATGTGTTAATCGCTGCAGTAATCTCCCGACGCCTGCCAGCCTCCCTCCCTCTCTCCCTCGTCGCCTCTAAAGTCGTTAAGATAGCAGACTAATTAAGAGACAGGCAGACAGTGGCACGTGCACGCTGACTCTCCAGAGGCCTTTTCCTCACACGGCTCCACAGAGTAACGTCTCTGAACGACAACCAGGCTGCAGGAAAATTTTGCTCACTGTCAAACCGACATCAGAGGCTGGAGAGGCAGCTGGATGCTTACTGAGTAAAGGCATAAAAAATAACCCATTGATTTCAGATGTTTGATCATCAGCTCTGGAAATCATTCACAATGCAACAGGTTGAATTTCTCAGTTAGGACAGAGAAACCTTTAGTTTATTTAAGTTTTAAAGTGACTCATGGACCAATCTGTTAGAATGAAATGAAATGATATGATCAGACATTAAGGAAACAAGCTATGTTGAAGTGCTGGCTTCTCTGACAACAATGCAGCAGCCAGTATGTCCTCCTTCTAACTTTAGATTCTGCTCCTGAATGCTCTGGATTTGTTTGGACCAGAGAAGGTAGGCAGTTTTAAGACACCCCCACACGGCCGTTTTGGACGCCCCTCAGTTTGTCAGATATGAGACCAGTTATCAGGTCAACAGGTGTTGCAGTGATGGAAGCGGGCAAGAGAAGTGGTTCAGATAGAAGTGATTGTACCCGACCTAAAAAGCCTCTGCATGTTTCTAAGAAGCTCCACGAGCAGAAACGTGCTCAAACTAGGATCAATATTGGAGATGATTTTGAAAAATGGAGAGAGGTTAGAACACAGAAAGGTTTACAGACCCATGCAGAGCTGGATAAACACTGAAGCTACAGTGTCCACCACATGGTGACCTGCCTGAGCATTGACTCTAGAGAGGAGGGGGCATGGGGGGGAGACAGCTCTCTATAATGTTTAGAATTTGGACTGCAGTACCTGTTTTAAACACTAGGTGCCACAGTTACATATCGCTCCTTTAACACTGTCCAGGTCTTATTATTGATGGAGCTGACAGAATTAATAATAGTTTATGTTAAAGTGGCGGAGCTTGGCAGCACATCTCTACTTTGTTTGGAGGAAGTGCAGTGTGAGGATTGTGCAGCACCTGTGTGTCTCAGGTGTTGTTTTTTATTGTCTCTCAACAATAGGACAGACTTTCTTTTGAGCAATGGCTCAGAATCTGTGCAGCTTCACTCATCGATCCACACAGAAGTCCTTGCTTTCATGCAGCCTGTGCTTTTATTGACTCCTTGAATTAACAGGGGAGTGTATTCAAAACCTTTTGAAGGCATTTTTTATATTCGATGGTCTGGCACATTGTGGGAAGTAAACCTAGGGAAAAAAAAAAGGTTTCTGTGAAATCTGTTCCACTCTCGAGTGACGGCCGCCAGCCTGGTCTACATTTCAATATTTCAGAGTCACTAAGTGGTGGGTTGCTAGGCGATGCAGCCGGGCAGCATGGGTGAGGGAGCGTGATAGGCAGCTTGTTGCTCTGAGCGATCTGGAGGGAAACAAAGCCAAAGTTGGCCGCCTGCCCATTTTCCATTCATATTCCCTCTCCGACATTCACACACACACACACACACACACACACACACACACACACACACACACACACACACACACACACACACACACACACTGGCCAGACTAAAGACTCTCTCCACACACGTGAAGCCGACCACACACACAGCACCTTTGTGTACAGACAGAGTGTAAACAGAGCTCTTCCCCTGATTGAGACCCGCAGTAAAGAGACGCTAATGAAACATGACGGCATGAGGGCAGACACCAGAAGGTCCTCTGCTTTCTGATTCAGGTAAATGCCAAGCTCACAGCGCTGGCTGCTCATGCTCATAAAGGGAAAATGACTCCATCAGTTCCCTGCAGATGTAATGCCGTGGATATACAGCTGATGCTTGGGCCTGATCTGTTAGCTCCTGATGCCTCCAAGCAGCTTCAGGTTGCCTGTCCTTCCTCCTGAACGAGGACGTATTATATTATAATCCAGACGGGATGCTTTCTAGCTGTCAGACGTCTTTTGCTGGGCTCTCATTCCGTGATGCCAATAATTACATTTACAAAGTTTTACTTCGTGGTTAACTTCTTATCCTCCACCAAGCTAATGCAACAATGTCCATGCGTGCCACAGGTTCCTCCCTCTCTCGAAGACGTCAGCCAGATCTAGGACCGTAGCTCAAAAAGTGCAGTCTCATAGCCAGCTAGCTGACGCGGTGGCTAAAGATAGGGCAGACTCTGACGAGATAAATGTAGCACCGACAAGATAAGCATAAGAGTTTAAAGTCATGAACAAAGTGACTGTGCTGATTTCAGTTCCCTCTGATCCCTCAGAAATCATATAATTCAAACGCTAACAATGAACAGACAAACAGGAAGTAAAGACGCTCTTATCCCAAAATGTCGGAGATTAATCGGTCTGGCTGTAGTTTTGATGCTGACAGTGATTAGACATCTCAAGTACAGCTGTCGATGTTGTCGATGATGATATATTGGCATTAATTATAAAATAAGTGCTCGGCCTCTGGTTACTTCCTGTCAGTTCCTGTGTGTCCGATCAGACTAAAATATGTTTGTTTGCACTTCCTGACGTTGTCTCCTCCTCTCTAGATCCTCTCTTGTCTTGTACTTCCTCTCTGATGTTTGTTGTTTTTGATAAATGAGTCATAGAAGGATGGGTTGGTGGAGACAGACCGTTTATTCAGAGCTTAAACTGCTGATCACAGGTTACTTAAATGTTGTGGCTTCATTTGTTGTTTGTTTTTCCCAGCATCCTCTAGTGTTATCAAACAATGCCCAGGTATAAAAAGTCTGATTTAAGCTGTCATTATCATGATAAAAAAACAAACGATCTGTGTCTTTGTCTTTACCTGCTCAGGACTCAGAGTTTGTCTGTTGGTGATGGAGATGATCAGGAGGACTTCCCTGGCGATCTTAGTCTTCATTCTGACCTCCTGACCTCTGAGGAACTGCCGTGCACGCTGGCTAATGCTGTGGAGGTGCACAGGGATTGGCAGCCAGGTAAGGAAAATCTACAACTCAAAACATGTGCAGCTTGTGCTGAAGTGTAGTTGAGATTTTTATCTCAAATATAATCACCACGTTGGTGTTTATAGCAGATAAAAAAAATGCTGTGGCTACTATCCATGTTTCCCATTTCTTCCTTTTGTCATAATTTATGAATCAGAAAGCATTTTAAACTGTAAGCTGCGTTTGTTTTCCTCCTCTTTAAATGTCCCTGCTCCTGTGACTGTGTGGCCGGCTGGAGAGGTAGCTGTTAAAAGTGACATTTCTTTTCTTGGCTCCAGCTGTGTACAGGGTTTTAAAGTGTGGCACTCGGTGATTAGCATTAGCCTAATCTGCTGGCACTCTGTCTGCCAAGTCCCACACCGGAGCATCGTAGCTGCCAGGGACAGGAGCAACACACACACACACACTGACCTCATGAATCACTGTAGAGTCCCTGTTGTTCTGCCGTGTGTGTGTGTTGATGAACCTGTCTTCTCAGATTATCTCCTTAAAGGTCTGTCTGAGGTGTTACATGTGATGCTAACAGCGCGCTTCTCTTCTCGTCCAAGAATCTTCCATCAGGAGCAGTGGAAAGATCCCAGAGGAGGCCGTCGTGGATGAGGAGGCCATCTTGAGTCTCCTGGAGAACAGTCAGACCTTCCTCCCTCTGTCCCAGACATCCAACCACTCCACACTGTTAGGTATGTGAGCTCCCTCGCTCAATAAAAAACCTCCTGGCTGACTCATTTGTTGTCCTTTCATTCATTTATTTTGATTTTTTTTCTTGACTTTTACTGAATGAAAACACAATGAGGGACCAAGCCAGCATGCTTAAGGAGTAACAGGTGGATTTTATTAGAGTGGGTTTTAGTCCCCCCCCACAAAAAAACCCACCTGATTTATACAATATATGCTTAAGTTATTTTCTCATATAAGGGCAAAATAGACTTTACCATGATTTTTCAACCAGATGCGTGTCTGGTCTGTCACTGGATCAGAGCTTATTTCACTTCAGTCAATGTGTGAGCGGCTACTGACTCCGCTGCTCTGCGTTTTAGTCAGAGTACAGTGCAGATTGAGCCGGACAGGAAGTCAGACAACCAAACAACATTAAAACATCCGGTTATATTTTCAAAAATGAAACACGGTTGGGAACAATAGCCGTACTCATCTTATTATCTTGTGCTGGTTCTGAAATGACCACGGGAACTTCTTGGTCTCGAGACTCCAGCTGTCTGCAGTGCTGCTTTGGCTGCACTCTGTAAATTCAGCCTGCACAGAGCACTGACCTGACACACAATGCACACATATCTTGTGAAACTTTCTGGGTAAAATGTGTCGCTAGTCTGTTTACCAACCCCCCCCCAATGTTCTGTTCAAGAAAAGTCACATCCTCTCCGTCTTTTGCCTGCTCCACTTTTCAGAAATAATACGGGCTTTTACAATTAAAAGAAAAAAGAAAGGTCTTGGTAAAAAGGACATATACCTTTTAAAGATTCTTATGGTGGCAAGTAAAAAAGCTATTACTAAATGTTGGCTTCAGAGGAACCCTCCTACCATGAGACTCTTGAGAAACATTGTGAATTCCATCAGCTTTATGGAAAAAATGACTTTTGTCCTGTGACTTCAAAAGGAGAAGGGAGAAGAATATTGGAGAAAATGGGATTTATACAAAGATAAAGAATCGTAAATATATCTTTTTTCATTAGAATGTACCATCCATTATGTACTGTACCTGTGCCTTTTACATTCTTGTAGTTGATCTTATTTATACTGTCTTGCCCTAGTCCTCACTTGTTCTGTGTTTCTTGTAAAACAAAAGTGAAAAATAAAGTATAAAAAAAAAAAAAAAGAAAGACGAGGGTTCAAATGTTTTTGAGCGTTAATATATTCAGCTTTTTGATGTAATGTTTTCTGTTTGTTGTTTTTTTTGGGGGGACTGCAGACAGCAGCCAAGACCACGCCATCATTGACCTGCTGGCTGGCCTGGAGGACGACGGTTTCCGCAGGACCCCCGTCAGGCAGAACTCACAGTCTCAGTCACTTACTGGCGCTCGGAGCTACAACTGCAACAGTGACGAGGAAGAGGCGGAGCCAGAGCTGGAGAGGGAGGAGGCCGAGCTCAGTGTGATGATGTCACAGCGGTGGGACAAAGAGCCTACGGAGAGCTCATCCTCACAGAGGCAAGTTTGTGTCCACTGACCAGAAGTTTAAATCATGACAATGAGAAAATGATCCGTTAGTTTGTATGGAGTGCACATTTTCATGTTTTTTCCCCCCCCTTCATTGACATTTGATATAATATGAATTAAAAAAAATATCAGAAAAACAACGTCATTAGAAGATCAGACGATTTGATGGTTAATGTGTTTAAAAAAAGATTAATATGAAGGTATACGTCTTCTAACAATCCTCTCTGTATAATGATTTCAGAATCCTTGGGATGGGATCAGATCTGATCTAATATCAGTATCAGGTCCAATATGGTCGTAAATAACAAATCAGTTAACAGCAGTGTTGGGCACGTTACTGAAAAATGATTAGTATATGAGAATAACAATAAGAGTGCACAATGCAGTCTGCAGTCGTGTCACAGTAGCGTTGTCTGGGCTTAGTTTAATCTGTGCATCCGTCTTTCCTGTGCATGCAGACTCGGTGTGAAGGAGCCAGAGGAAGGCTTCAGTGACGAGCAGCAGGAGTCCTCTGACGAAGACATGGACTGGAGCGGGAATAACTCTCTGTTCGCCAACCTGTCCATCCCGCAGCTTGACGGCGCTGCAGACGAGAGCAGCGGTGAGTCGCCTCACGCTGAGACCTGCTGAGACAGCACTTGAGTGTCAGTCTGCTTTGATGCTTATCTTTCCCTCCCTGCTGGTTCATGTTCCATCAAGGATATCGGACCAGCGATCTGACGGCAGCTGCACAACAACTGTTTGTGTTGAAGCTAGTTTGTTGCCGTTTGATCTAATTCGATTATGAGGGAGCCGTGATTTAATCTGGAGCTAGAAGCTAGGACTCTAATTGATTTCCTGTGGTATTATAAATTAGCTCTGAATACATTTTACCGTGGCTGTGAAGGCAGAGTCTTTTACAAAGAGGAAGTGAAGAACTTCTCTCCTGGTCATCATGTGTGTATTTTGTCTACAGTGGAATTAGCCTCATGTTTTAAAGGTCATATATTATGCTAAAATACACTTCACCATGTTTCTCTAACACTAATATGTGTCCCTAGTCGGTCTAAAACCCACCAACGATGAGAAAAGTCCATCCTCTCCGTCTTTTGCCTGCTCCACTTTTCAGTAAATGTGTGCTCAAACAGGCCGTTTGGAGATCTTCCCTTCATGACATCACAAAGGGCAGTAGCCCCTCCCCCAGGTGGGTGACACTCCCACAGCTAGGTGTTTGTTCTGCCCTCTGAGTCTGCCTTCTCACTGTAAACAATAGTATGTGGAGCAAGAAAGACTGAGACACCCAAGCCCTTCCAGAGAGGGGGGCGTGGTCAGACACAGCCATTTACATATTTAAAGGTACAGACACAGAAACAGCCTGTTCTGAGCAGGGCTGAAATAGAGGGGTTTATAGACATGATCAAATACAGGATCAGAGTGGATTTAGAACAAGAAACTTCACAGACATGTTTTGAGGAGCTCTGAGACTTATTTAAACTGGTTGAAGAGGAGGAGAATATGTGACCTTTAAAAGAGAAATAGCTTTATCTTGCTGCTTGCAGCTCTCATTAAGATGCTTCTTTTTTCTTTTGTTGTATCTGTAGATTCATCTTTAACAGACAGCGGCTCCAGGTCACAATCATCTCTCGTAGTCACAGAAAAGATGCTCGGGAAGAGAAACCCCTTCCCCGGGGAGACAGTCCACCTGGAGCCACCTTCCTCAGCGAAGATCCTTCTGGAGTGCAAGCACCCTGAACACAGACCTGGTCACGTGCTGGACACGGAGCAACCACTTGACAAGCACTTTCAATCAAAGAGCATCCAGGACAGCAGCAGTGAATGTTCAACAGGGTTTAGGGTCAATAAAGAAATCCCCTACATCCCGCCAGTCAAACACCCCATCCCCTGCAAGATAGCCGGTCATCCTGAAGCGTCTCCCATCTGCGTAGACCAAGAGGACATACGACCCCTGTACACCTTTGACAAGCAAACCTCCATAGCTTTGGAAAAGACAGATCTAGAAAGTTTCACATTTGGTAACGGAAATGTCACCAAAAACAGGAAGAAGTACGGCAGCATGAAGAATGTAGAAAAGAACTGTTTGTCCATCCTGCAGAACCACAGGACGTTCTCCCTCTGTTACTCCGAGCTGAGAAACTGCTCAGCAAAGACCGAGCTGGAACTGAGCCAGAAGGACCGAAAGAGCCCCATCCTGATGAACATCTCCTCCTCCCCGTCGCCCATAGAGGACGAGGATGAGTTCCTCGACCCCCGGGAGGAAGAAATGGACCAGGACAGCGAGGAGGGAGATGTTGGTGAACTCAAAATCAGGTATGAGGACTATCAGGAAAACAAGACGGAGAGGACAATAGGAGCCCAGCAGGAAGCACACTACAAGTTCTTCCCCAGCGTCATCCTCTCGAACTGCCTCACTAGGAAGAAAGCTGGGGGCAAAAAGCTGGCGGAGCCCTGCAGCGAGCTGGAACAGGCTCAACCACGCAGGCAGAGGATGAAATTGAATAAAAAAAGGTTGGGACTGGTAGGGTTGAGGACTAAAGTAAACACAGGTGTTGTAAGCTCTACCTCTGAGAGCCAGGTTAGTACTGGCCTCGCCTCAAAAACATCTGCCTGTCCAGAGACTCCAGACACAGAGATGCCTGATGTGGGGGTTCAGCCAGGAATCGAGGCTGAGCCTATTAAGAATGGGCCAACGATGGAGGTGGAGTTGTTGATTGCAAAGCAGGAGACAGAACAAGAAGAGGGATCTGTAATGGAGCAGACCGACTCCCAGTCAGAACCCCCGACCACCACTGCTCCCAGTGTTTCTGAGGAACCTAAAGAGGAGACGCTAAGCCCCTTGCAAGATCTGTCTGCCAAAGTCACCTGTACAAAGCCTTCTTCCCTGCCCGGGAGTAAATACACCCTGAGGACCAAACGGAAGATGCTCTTCGACGGTGAGGATGGAGAACACTCAGCTGCCACTCGCTCTAAACACCCGGCCTCCAAAGAACAACTCAAGGACTCCGATGTCTCCGATGTCTCCGGTGGGCAGGAGGTCAAATACCAGAAACGGCGCAAGAAGGAGCCGCCGATCATCATCAAGTATATCATCATCAACAGGTTCAAAGGGCAGAAAAACATGCTGGTGAAGATGTCCAAGTTGAATGTAGAGGAGCAGGTGGTCTTGTTGACGCCAGACAAGCTGGAGCAGTACAGTAAATTTGCCCCTCTGAAGGATTTCTGGCCCAAGGTGCCAGAATCCACGGCTGTGAAGTTTCCCATCGCAGAGCCGAAGGTCAAGAAACACCCCAAAAGAAAGGGAAAGGTTAACTCCACCAATAAGAAAACGGTCGGAAAACCGTACACACCTCAGGTCAGACAGCGAGAACGAGTCAAAAAGATCAGAGGCTGTCAGAGAGGCCCAGTTCTACCCTCTCTACCGCCTCCTCGGCCATGTTACTGTGAGCTAGCAGATGACCATGGCGTTGAGTACACTGATGTCATGGTAGAGTTGGGTTACCTCTCTGATAGATCCCAAAGCCCGATAGATTCAACCCCACCTCGATGTTGGTCCCCAAGCGACCCTCTCATGGAACCCGGCAGTTCAGATCAACTGATCGACCCGCTCAGTGATCCATGTCTCAGTTCTGCTTTTCACACACAAGGCCCGGTGTCTCCGACCAAAGGAGCACGAAGGAGGCATCAAACTGCCAAACCTAAGAAAGTCACAGACACTAAAAGGAAGGTAATCAAGACTGCCCCCAATCCCCCGGGGGAAGAGGAACCCAAAAAGGGAAAGCCGAGGCGAAGTAGAGCTGCTCCCAGGCAGAACAAGAAAACTAAAGATGTAGCCGAAGTTTCTGTCAACCATTGTTCAACCACTACAAGACCAAGAAAGCCTCGCAAAAAGAAATGTGAGGAACCAAAGGGCCATGATTCAAGTAAAGATGGCTCCCAGCTTCTGTTTCCAGGGGACGACGTGCCTCTGTCTGAGAGTTCCTCTCAAGAGCTCCCTCCATTTCAACAGCCGGGGGGCACAGAAAGCAAAAGCAGGGACAGTTCCCAGACGGCTCCTTTATCAGACTCTAACCCTGCAGCCCAGTCTGTAGTACCAAAGGTTGAGGACTGTGAGACCTCCATCATGGAGGTCAACCAGAGCCATTCAGAACCAGCCAAGCTCAAGCAGAAAGGTTGCCAGACCACTGTTGTGAAATCAGAGGCTTCACAGGAGTGCACGGCTCCTCTGTCTCCTCCCGCTGGTCGTTTATTACTGGATGGTAGTAAACTAGCATTAGCATCCCCACACTCAGGTCCTAAGAACGGGGAGATCCCCACCCTCTCTGAGACCCCCTCTGGCTTGGCCGTCCTCAAGCAGCTTCTCCAGAGGAGGCAGCAGGGTCAGGCCCTTCCTCTTCAGGTGGTGGGTACAACCAGCCGCTCCACTGCCCTTGCTCAGGCCACAGCTCTTCTAGATCCAGCAGCTAAAGCGACAAAATCCAGAAGAGCTCCCTCCACCACTCCTCGGAAACCCCGGGCCCCAAAATCCACCACTCCCAAGGATAAAAAGCCAAGAATCCGGAAAGGCAAGGTGAGCAACTCCCAGCCCAATGCGTCGGTGAAGCAGGAAGACAATGTGTCTGATGACTGCCCCGTCTTCCTGTCAGAGCCGGGCATGGACAGCTGCACCTTCATAGAGGACAGCTTGTCCCCAGAGCTCCCCCATAACTACAACTTTGATATCAATGCCATCGATCAGACAGAGTTCTCCGCCCCCTACAGCGGCAGTCAGTTTGTCCTGACTGATAAACATTTACCTGCAAAGTTCTTGAGCGATGTCAGCCAGGATGCCATATCGGCTCAGGCTCTGGGCGTAGAGAAGAAGCTCTTAGGTTCTGAGGAGGAGCTAAGAAGAGACTCGGACTCCACCAAACCTCGGCCCGTCACCCCGACCTCTTTGACAGACCTGAGAACGGCGAGTCCGTCCCCAATCACCTCACATTCCTCGACTCAGACAAGATAAAAAGTAGAGAGTGGGACTTCTCTTTAGGTAAAGCCCACACACTCAGCCCCTTTCAAGACTTCCACTGTGAGAGAAAAGAGCTGCTCTTTTCCGTCTTCGACCCCGTCCTGCCTTTGCCTTTGAGCTCCGCCTCATTCGTCGACCATGACGGCTCTCCCACAGGGGAGCTTCTGGAGAGCATCGACGGACTGACGTCTACCACGCCCAGTAGCTCTCCACGCTCCATCAGCTCTTTATCCCAGGTGAGAGCCAGTCAGCTGCTGCGGGGGGCAGGAGGCGGAGCCCACATTCTCAAACCCCTCATGTCCCCTCCAAGCCGGGAGGAGATCCTCAGCACCTTACTCGACCTTGAGATGTCAGAGGCCACCTTCCAGGAGCCGTTCTGCAGCGACCCCTCTGATGCACCAGGGAAACCAATGTAAGACTATGAGCCCCATGAGCTGAACTAATAATGACTCAAGTGACATCATGCATGACATAATGCACATAATGAACTGTATATGCAAGTCCCTCTTTACAAGGGCTTTTATTTACATCTAATTTTAGTGAAACTGTCATACTAATAAAGAATAATAGACATAAAGTATATATTGCAAAACTGAAATGTGTCAATATAGTCATATAATCCAGTTTAATACCATTCGATCCATGCAAATAACTGGATTTTGCATATCTGTGCCCCTTTGAAGTCTTGATGAATGGCAGTAATTAAAAATGTAAATAAGTCAGTTAATCACATTCCCCGTTCCTCTCTCCAGGGAGGTTGGCGGCCGCAAGCTCACTGTGAACACCAGGCTGGCTAAGGAGCTGGCAGAGTTCAGTGGAGACCTGTCTCTAGAAGGCCTCCATTTCTGGAAGACGGCCTTCTCAGCCATGACACACCCGGCCGCCGCTATTAACTCATCTTCACAAGCTCGGGGGGCCGAGGCCTCGGAGGCGAGACGAGAGCAGACGGAGCCAAGCTCGTCCTCTGGCGGCGACAAGAAGGTCATCCTCCTGCCCTGCAAAAACCCACCCAGCCGAGAGCGAGTCAACCTGTGGCTGGAAGCGAGGAGGCAGTATGAAAGTTTACGGAAAGGGAGACGAGACGCAGATCTGCAGAAGAAAGGGCTGGATGAGGAGGGACACCAGGAGAGAACGGAGCCCCCCACGGTGAAGCTGGAGCTGTGCGAGAGACTCTCCAGCGTCAGGACCCAAAGGAGGAAGAAGCGTAACCTGTCCTTAATCATATCTCCCCTGAGGAACACAGACTCTCAGTGTACGTCCACAGAGGTGAGTCCGGTTTCTGAAGACGCTGGAGCAGAGATTGAGCAGGAAGTTGGAGAAAAAGATGACGATAATAAAGCCACCTCACCAGAGTCCCCCGAGCTGCCTCCCTGGCAGCAGTCCTGTCAGCCCAGCCCCTCAGGACCAGACCAGCCCGGCAACAACAAGCAGAACTCTCCAGAACCACAGTCACCTCAGATTTCTAACTCTGCAGAGAGACAGGGGGAGAATCTCAGTCCCTCACTCATCCATGTCAGTAACAAGGACGAGGGGAGGACCAGTCCCCTCCCTCTTCACAGCACCCCATTTTTAAGAAGAAGGCGGAGAAGCAAGGAAGATCTGGAGCCGGTGTGCAGCACGCCCATATCTGAGGGTAAGAAAACTGCTGATCTGTGTCTTCTATATGCAAACTTTAATATAGACAATTGATGCACAGATTTATAATTTATCACAGCTGAATAATATTTCCATCCTGGGAAATCCTTCTGCATGTGTTTTAACATTCATTGTTTACTAAACTCATCTCTGTTTGTTTTCCCTGCTGCAGAGAATCCCATTTCTCAGAGACTCCAGCAGAGGAGGAGGAGCCAAGCGGACCCACTGAGAAGAGTGTTACTGGACACACAGATGAAGGTCAGACTGCATTCAATGATTTTAAAGCCCTGAATATTTGTCAGAACTCATCCACCTGTATTCACTAACCCGCTCACCTTAACACCTGCTGTCGGCCCCACAGACACATTAGAAGACATGCAGCAATAGCTAATATGATGATGTTTAGGCCTAGTCCACATGTAGGCATGTATTTTGTGTTTTCCTTTTGTACACAAAATGTGTTTTGGACTTAACGTAACGTCACGCTGGGCGCCCCGTTCTCAGATCTTGTACGACGCTGTCACTTTAGTTTCCATGAGATTAGTGCGATGGCAGACGTAACCAAACTAGTGCTGGTGTTAACATTGCTAACTGGACTTTTTACATGCTCACACATACAAACACAGTTACTCTCCCACTATGCTGATGAGCAGAGACGCCTGAATGGATGTGGTGGGAACACTTTGAAAAATTAAAAGGTCACTGCAGAGGAATGGCGAGAAAACTTCACATTTCGAGGACAGCGTTGAATTTAGTGTGTGTGTGGACGGGATTATTTTTTTTAAAGGGAGGAGGAAAACCTCTGTGTAAAAAAAAAAAGACATGCCTACGTTCTGTGATCAGGCAGGTCTGTGCACGAGCCGCCCCTTTGTTCTGTCTTTATTTCTGTATGTGTTGATGTGAAGCCCTTTGGGACCTTTGGCTAAAGTCTTTCTCTTTGCTTTCCTTTGTCATTCACAGAACCAGTTTGCTGCTTTGAACGTGCCAAAGAAAGATACTTCTCAGATCGAAGGACCCAGCATAGCCAACTCTTACGGCTTCAGAGTCAGCATGCAGAACCTGCAGGAGGCCAAAGCTCTGCACGAGGTCAGCCGCATCACACTCACATGCCAGCCTTCCTTCAGAAGTTTGATTGAGCAGATTTCGAATTCTAACTTTTAATAACTCAATAAATGTGCTTCAGCCTTCTTCTTTTGTAAATAATGTCACCTTTACAATGAAATCCAAGCATTTAAGGATCAACATGTGAGATATGTACTGAATGAGATGATGAAGTGAGCTTACTATATGATCAGACATTAATGAAACATGCTATGTTGAAGTGCTGGCTTCTCTGACAACAATGCAGCAGCCAGTATGTCCTCCTTCTAACTTTAGATTCTGCTCCTGAATGCTCTGGATTTGTTTGGACCAGAGAAGGTAGTCACTTTTAAGGCACCCCCACACGGCCGTTTTGGACGCCCCTCGGTTTGCAAACCAAACCAACAGGTGTTGCAGTGATGGAAGCGGTCAAGAGAAGTGGTTCAGATAGAAGTGATTGTACCCGACCTAAAAAGCCTCTGCATGTTTCTAATAAGCTCCACGAGCAGAAACGTGCTCAAACTAGGATCAATATTGGAGATGCTTTTGAAAAATGAGGTTAGAACACAGAAAGGTTTACAGACCCATGCAGAGCTGGATAAACACTGAAGCTTCAGTGTCCACCACATGGTGACCTGTGTGAGCAACGACTCTAGAGAGGAGGGGGCGGGTACCCATTTTAAACACTAGGTATCAGTGTTGCATACTAATTTAAAATCTTTGTTGTAGTTTTAATTTCTCTTCTGACACACCTTGTGTTTCAGGTCCAGCACCTAACACTCATGGGCATGGAGCTCCATGCAAGAACCAGACGTGACCTCGAGGCCGACCCTGAGTTTGACCCCATATGTGCCTTATTCTACTGCCTCAGTTCAGATGCTCCGCTGCCCGACGAGGACAGCACCCAGCTGACCGGGGCCATCGTGGTGGAGAAAGACCATCAGAGCCGTAACCAAGGTGAAAGCTCAGTTAATCTCAGCATCACTGATGATGAAAAGTGAATAGAGTGTTACATTAGTCATCGTCTTCTCATCAGTGTCTTTGTTTAGACTGGTAGCTGTATTTGGTGCATTATATATCATTATGTTTTCATCACTGCTTTTATTCTTTTTTTTCCTGTGTACTCTCTTAAACTCTCTATCTTCAAAAAAAAATATTCCCCATTTGCCCTCATCAGGTCACAGAGGAACAGCGCCCCTGCTGGTCAGGTCAGGTGTCTCAGGGCTGCAGGTGACGTACGCCACAGATGAGAAGGCGCTTTTTCAGGAGCTGATCGCCATCATGAGGAGGTGTGTATGTGTGTGTGTTTCAGTGAGTGAGCTTCTGCTCTTTAAAAAAAAAAAAAAAGTGCTTTTTGTGCTCCAATTAAAAACAAGCCCTTTTACATCGACCACTCCTGGTGTGTGTGTGTGTGTGTGTGTGTGTGTGTGTGTGTGTGTGTGTGTGTGTGTGTGTGTGTGTGTGTGTGTGTGTGTGTGTGTGTGTGTGTGTGTGTGTGTGTGTGTGTGTGTGTGTGTGTGTGTGTGTGTGTGTGTGTGTGTGTGTGTGTGTGTTGTCAGGTTCGACCCGGACATCTTGGTGGGGTACGAGGTCCAGATGCACTCCTGGTCTTACCTCCTCCAACGGGCCTCGGCGCTCGGAGTGAATCTGTGTCAGCAGCTGTCGCGAGTGCCAGGTACAGCTGAGCTCCCACAGCGTGGACATCTAGTCTATTGTCAGAGTTCATGTGTTTGAGCCTCAAGCTAAAATCTTTTCCTGAACTAACCATTCCATACCATAGACTTTATTGAGCCCTTGGGGAGATTTGTCTTGGAGTCAGAGTGCTGCAAAACATTCTATGTAGCAGCTATGCGTAATGTGAAACGTAGACTAGCTTTAACGTAAGTTCTAATTTAACCTTAGATTAAGATGAGGTAGTTCCAATGTACGCAGAAGGTAAAACTTAGATCTTACACCTCACTCCTAGGAGGTAGTAGTAGTCCTCCATAAAATCCGGTTTCCATGGCACATCGTTTTTAAGAGGTGGGATATCTTGGAGGATGAGGAGGCGTCAGACTGTGTGATGACTTCATACTCCCACTTTCACTTTCCACAAGCGGAGATAGACAGGATCACCGACCTGCTAGCAAAGGACTTGCAGCATGACACCAACAGAAACGGAGCCCCCTCTGTGTTAACTTGTATTTCTCTTTTACCATGTTATGTACGGTAAACATGTTTTGAATGGACCACCACCGGGAGGTGAATACATTATCAACACCAAATTAACATTGTGTTTATCACAGTTCACTGTTCTGCTTCAGGTGTGTCTGGCTTTAAGATATTTCACTACTGGGTCGTTTGGACTTGGGGAAGCCGATGGAGGATTGACGAGATTACGCTGTCGAGATTACGATTGTCAAATTACGCTGAATGAGACTTCCAGGTTAAATGAAACCCCAGAGATGTTTGTTAACTAAACAAACATCTGATTGTGTTAACTAATTTACCTCGCTTTCTCTTCAAGCTTGTATGTAAAAAAACAAATAAAACACAGTGTGCTTTGTTGAGCTCATTCTACCTGTGATCCATACATTGAACCTCAGCTGCTGGTCAGCTTCCTGTCCCACATCAGGGTCAATCCATACATTGACCCATTCTAATTGTCAAGCTCGTAGTCGCTTATTGCACATGTGCAGGATTTTCTACAGTAATCATTGGCGCGTTATTGAACGTGACAGTTTAAGAGCAGCTGCTGATGTCAGAGAGTCCCACTGACTCTGAGAGGATTTTATTTTGTGTCCCACTTTGTGTCTGTATGAAAGAGAATGTGTTTGGGTCTTTCCCTGTGTGTGTGTGTTTATCAGTTGAATGGAGAGTCTCTGGCTGCTCCCCTCCTCCTCCTCCTCCTCCTCCTCCTCCTCCTCGTCTGTAATAGGCTGTCTGTCTGGCTCTGTCCGTGTCCTCAGGTAACTCCAAAGAGAACCGCTTCAGCGCAGACAGGGACGAGTACGGAGCCGACACCATGACTGAGATCAGCATCATTGGGCGCATCACCCTCAACCTGTGGAGGGTGATGAAAACTGAGGCAGGTGTCCTGATGTGACCTCCACCCCTCCTACACACACACACACACACACACACACACACACACACACACACACACACACACACACACACACACACACTGTCACATCTGTCTGAATGTTTCAGTGTTTTACTTCCTCTCTGTTCTTTCGCTCTCCTCTGCTTTCATGCTGCACAGGGAATCTTTCCTCCTAATATTCAGTCAAATATTAAATAAAATCTCTTTATATCTAAAACATGTTACACTGAACTAGTTTGACTTGAGAGTTCTGGTGTTGTTAAACCTCAGCCCGTTTATGAAGTAGTTTAAATGATGAAAAGGTACCTAAACTCTGGGAGCAGATTGCTTAAGTCGGTGGCCAACGGGAAGAAACGTCTGCAGCATTTTACCTGCTGTACTCGATCACATTAGAGTGACAGTACAGACCGAGTTAAGACCAAGACCATCAATATAAATCAAATCCTCATGTCTGCAGCTGACGTGTCACTCACTTAGACCGTAACACCGGGAAGGTTGCGGCCATAACCGGGGGATATAAATAAAATTATTCGTTTCCCTTCTAATCACAGTAATGACTCTCAGCGGTGGTCTCACAGGTCCTGTATTAAAATACGGAGTCCTACCAGTCCTAGACCGAGACAAGATCGAGTAAAAACGCGGTCTCTCACACAGACACGAGTCGTAAAGCGTTGATATTTCATGTTCTCGACAGCGTTTTACAAATTATACATCATGACGCTCTAAAATAAATGTCTTTCCTCTAAAACCCAAAAAGAGAGCGTTAAATGTTAAACGTCTGGAGGAAAGGCTCTGAGATATGTGTTTTTTCTTTCTCTCTTTCAGGTGACGTTGAACAACTACAGCTTTGAGAACGTCGCCTTCCATGTGCTCCACCAGCGCTTCCCCATGTACAGCCCTCGCACTCTGTCTGACTGGTTCGACCACAACACCGACCTCTACAGGTTAAAACCAGACACACACTCACACAGACGTGTCAACTGCTTACTTTTTAAATCACACTCCAGCACAGCGTTAAGTTTGTACGACCCCTGACCTTTGGGTTGGTCTGACCTTTGAAGAACTCATTTATTAAAGTCTAACAATAAATGACTGTGTGTGTGTGTGTGTGTGTGTGTGTGTGTGTGTGTGTGTGTGTGTGTGTGTGTGTGTTAGGTGGAAGATGGTGGACCACTACGTGAGCCGTGTGCGTGGCACCATGCAGCTCCTTCAGCAGCATGACATCATCGGCAGGACCAGCGAGCTGGCCCGAGTGTTCGGGATTCAGTTCTTCCACGTTCTGACCCGAGGATCACAGGTACCAACACACACACCAGTTTCTGACTCTCTGATTGGTCCATGTGTGTCTGTGCTGTCGTCTTAATGCTGCTAGAGGTCACAGGTGGTTAAAGTCAGCTGATCAAAACGACCCCTCCTTCATCACTTCATCACTACTCTGCTTCATGACTTAATAAAGATTATTTCAGTATCATGCACATAGAAATATAGATATAGATCAGCAGCAGCAATAACCTTCCTGTTATAACTTCCTGTTCCTCCAGTACCGTGTCGAGTCCATGATGCTCCGTGTGGCCAAGCCGCTGAACTACATCCCTGTGACACCCAGCGTCCAGCAGCGAGCTCAGGCAAGGGCGCCGCAGTGCATTCCCCTGGTGATGGAGCCCGAGTCTCGCTTCTACAGCAACTCGGTGATCGTGCTGGACTTTCAGTCGCTGTACCCCTCCATCGTCATCGCTTACAACTACTGCTACTCCACCTGCCTGGGCCACGTGGAGAGCCAGGGAACGTAAGGACACGCCCACTTTAGCCTGCCAAGGTCGCATGTCTGCCAGGAGAGTCCGCTTCCCACTTCCTGCGCTGCTTTATTACTAATGGAACAGACACACACACACACACACACACACACACAGATCTCGGCATGTTGTTCACACACACACACACACACACACACACACAGATATCTGCATGTTGTTCACAGCTCAGAGCAGCAGGGCTGAAGTTTGTATTGACGGAGCTGAGGAGTGTTTCTCACTCATTATCACCAGGATGGCTGTAGTTGCATAGCAACAGCAGGGGCCATGAACACGTCTTTTTCCGACACGCATATGTCGACTTTTTCAAGGTTAAAGAATAAAGAGAAAAGTAGCTTCCTGCTCTTCGGTTTCAAATGGGAAGGAAATAAAATTAAATCCAGATCAGCTTCAGGGTGGATGACAGTTCCTCTCCTGGAACCTCTGAACATTTCAAAGAGTTTATAAGAAACCTCTAACATGAAGCAGGCCGATGAGTGACGCCTTATCAAAGTGTTTGTCTTTTAATTATATAATGTTATTTCTTTTGGGAAATCCAGGTGCACTCAAACCTGGGCCATACTTTCACATGACTCAAAATGGCTGAGAGGTAAAACAGGTTTGAGATTTTTCCTCAGCTGGGAGCAGAAAGTCAAAACTAAATCTTTATTGTTAATTTAGCCGTACGTACTGGACATACAGAAAAATAGTTTCTCTCCAAACCAGGGTGCAAACTGCAAAATTATTAAAAAATATATAAAAACAGCAAATAACAATACAAACACTGTCTCGGGGTAGACGTGGATGAAGGCCACAAGCCGAAACATGTTGGTCTAATTTGTTAATAAAGTTGACCTCTTTGACCAAATCAAACTTTGTGCATTAAAAGTGCTCGTTTTATACTCAGGCAGGCTTGTTTTATTTTAAACATCTGACTCTCTTCAGATCCAACATGAACTGATATCTAAAGCCCCATTTTCCACCAAGCGGTCCGGCTCCATTCAGATCAGATCAGAACGCATTTATTGGCGTTTCCACCATCAAAAGTTTGGAATTGTACAGAAATAATCGATCCTTTCCATCCTACTTTGTGCTACCCGTCTGTTGGGGTGCAGAGTTTACCGATCCGAGCCTGAAGGGTGGAGCTAGACACAATGCAGTCTGTTGATTGGTCGAAAGAATCATCACTTCTTGTGTTACAGCAATAACACACCATGTTTAAATATCCTGCTAATATCCAGAGAGTCATTTCAAGAGTCATTTTTGTTTTGTGTGACTAATGTCAGCGTGTAGCTCCGACGACCTCGGGAGGTGCAAACCTCTGCTGGATGTCCTCCATTGTTGCCCTTTTTTTTTTTTACTCCTGTTCTTTTTCTACTTTAAATGTATTTACGTGATTTTAAAATATCACCTCTAAGTTACTAAGACCCTGAGGTTAGCATAAATATATTTCAGGAGTACGATCAGCACAGAAACTCACACTCCTCCTGTCTCTGTTTCAGGCCTGATGAGTTCCGGTTCGGCTGCACCTCCCTGCGGGTTCCTCCCGAGCTCCTCTACCAACTCCGCAATGACATCACCGTGTCACCCAACGGTGTCGCCTTCGTCAAGGTACGGCGTCTCGCGAGCCCTCCTCTCTGATGAGTTTTCACCTCGCACATGTCGAGCGTGATGTGAGAACACTCGCCCTGAGTGTGAATCCTCTCCCAGAGTCCTTCAGCAGATTTATGAAGAGTCATTAGCTGCTGGGAAGGCAAAGTGTATCAGCAGAACGTTTCCTCTTCATGCTCTGCTGTCTAGAGATCTGAATCAAACTTTAAACTGGTCCAGGATCAGTGTGTGTTGACCTCTCTGTTCTTTGTGTCCAGTCCTCAGTGCGTAAAGGAGTCCTGCCCTGCATGCTGGAGGAGATCCTGAACACGAGGATCATGGTGAAGCAGTCGATGAAAACCTACAAGCAGGACAAAGCCCTGATGAGGCTGCTGGACGCCCGGCAGCTCGGCCTCAAGCTCATCGCCAACGTCACCTTCGGCTACACCGCCGCCAACTACTCTGGACGCATGCCCAGCGTGGAGGTAAGGTCATCAGAGGTCACCATCAGCTGTCTGCGCTGTGAGGAAGAGTAAAGCTAACACAGGGCTCGGCTAAATCCCTCCAAACGTAGTTTAGACAGCGAGGGACCGAGGCAGCAGTGTTGTGTTTGTGATAGAAATGATGAACATATTTGTCTGTGGCTGAGTGTACTCATGACATCACATATTGAAGTTTAGTTGATCTCAACCGTTCCACACCCTGGTTTCCCTTATAATAAAAATGATTTCTTCTAGAAGAGAGGTTATGTTGTTCAAACATGAATAAGGTGTTTAGATCATGAGGAAGGGTCCAGTTTACAGCTGAAAAATTAGCTTTGAAGGCTGCAAAGTTTTTAGTCTTTGCCTTTCACCTAGAAGGTCAGGGGTTTGATCCCCAGCTCCTGAAGCCACATGCCAAATGTGTCCTTGAGCAAGACATTTAACCCCAAGTTTATCCTGCTGCTTCATCAGAAGACTAGAAAAGAACGATACAAGCTCAAGTCCATTTACCATGTGTGTGTGTTTATGTGTTTTAAAGGTTTTTTATAATGGTTTTATGCCACATCCACCGTGTTAACCTTGCGCTGTTGCGAGTGTAATATAGAATTACTGCGGGAATTCCTTTGTTTCTGCACTCAACCTGTCCGGCTGTGTTGCTCCGATGCGTGATATATGTCCCTGGATATCAGTACAGTGATACTGTTATAATCAGTGTATTGTAAGATAATCATACAACGATATATCACGGTATCTGAATAACCTAAGATTACAAAGGCCCGTCTCTGCGATGTCCCAACTATAAAAGTTCAACAGTCACCTTTAGATCTTGTTGTTGTTGTTCATGCTCGTTCTCGTTGATTGTTTCCAGGTCGGAGACAGCATCGTCCACAAAGCCAGAGAGACCCTGGAGAGAGCCATCAAGCTGGTCAACGACACCAAGAAATGGGGAGCGCGTGTTGTTTATGGAGACACAGACAGGTGAGCTGATGTCCTCTCTGCATCCTGTCGTACAGGAAGTTCACGCTTTGCAGAAAACTGCTGAAACACTCCTGATAACTCCAGGAGGAGATGTGTGTGAACGCAAACAGACAGATGTTTCACTCTGACTTCACCTGGAGTTCCTCCTGACAATGTTTTTTCAGCAGCAATTCAGAGTGAGTTGATGAGAGAACACAGCAGGATATAATCAGGAGAATTCACCTCGAGCCAGTGGCAGGGGGGAGTGACATTTATGTCCTATGACCAACCAGTGCACAAACATAGATTGGAAAACCAGCTTATGGTGTCATTGCTGCATCCTCATCAGTCGAACGTGTTCCTAATGAGTGAAACAGACTTTTCTGAGCCTGAAGCTACAAACTGCTCTCTGTTTCTCAGTTTCTGTTGATGAGTCACTACTTTGTTACAGATGTGAGCGCTCCAGTTCCCACCTGCACTGTGATCTCGCAGAGCTCCAACATCTTAACATCAAATTAAAAGTTTTATTGTTTTGACTACTCGCTCCGAGGGACTCATTAATTCCTCGGTTAAAAAAAAGACGAAGCTGAGACTGCTGCTTTTCACGTCGTCATTTGGTGTTTGTGTTCCTGTTGTGTTTGGATGATGTGAGTGTGAGCTTCTGTTTGGCTCTTTTTAAATGAAACAAAATGAATCTAAGAAGGAGAAGATCTCTGTTCATTATGAGAGTCAGGAAGAAGTCAGCAAAAAAACTCTCAGCACAAATACGTTTATTTATTAATGACCTCTGAATGAATGAGGGTTGAAGCTCACATGGCGTTTCTATTTTTACAGTTTATTGTTATTATCTGTTATTATCAGGAGATCTGTTATACCAATGTTCACCATTAATGAGGTCACTCTGGGACACCTATTAAGTAGCATTATGAGATGTGTAGCTCAAAAAAACCTCCTTATTTATCTGATACAGGCGTCAGTAAAATCCCTGATTTCAGCTGCTGTCTCTTTAAGGCCCGCCCTCCTCACATGCCCGCTCTCCTCCGATTGGCCAGCTCTGTTTGCAGTCACAGGATATATTTTGAGTGCGCTTCCAGGTGGGCGTGTCCTACAAACTCTTTGCTCTAACCCTCAGTCATCATATATTCTGTGTGCGACGCGGTCATTAACCGGATGCTTTGTGTGTTTCCTCATCTGACTTCCTGTCCAGGTTGTCATATTACAGAAGCACAAAGATTGAGAGTCAGCTCATCTTTCTAACTGAAGATTCAAACTGTGGATTGTAGAGAAAGCGGCCCTTTAGGAGTGAATAGATGGAAACATGCAGCACAAGGTGACTTTGTTTGTTTGTTTGTTTGTTTGTTTGTGTCTCTGCAGCATGTTTGTTTTGCTGAAGGGAGCCACCAAAGAGCAGGCATTCAAGATCGGCAACGAGATCGCAGAGGCGGTGACGGCGACCAACCCCAAACCTGTCAAGCTCAAGTTTGAGAAGGTAGTGCTTACACACACACACACACACACACACACACACACACACACACACACACACACACACACACCTCTCTGATATCTGTTCAACATGACTTGGATTTGTGTCATTCTCTGCCAATTTGATCCTTCAGTTGGATGTGTTAAGACAGAGGTAATCATTTGTGTGTGTGTGTGTGTGTGTGTGTGTGTGTGTGTGTGTGTCCAGGTGTACCTGCCCTGCGTGCTGCAGACAAAGAAGCGCTACGTAGGCTACATGTACGAGACTCTTGACCAGAAGGAGCCGGTGTTTGATGCCAAAGGGATCGAGACGGTGCGGCGCGACGGCTGCCCTGCTGTTTCCAAGGTAACAGGCAAACCAACCCTCCCTCCCTCCCGTTTCGCTCCACTCTCCACCAATCACAGCAACGCCAGCTTTTCTTCCCGCTCTCGTTTACTCAGACGGCTTCACACGTGTCACTCAGAGAAGAGGCACACGGCTGCTTCTGTGTCTCCATGCTGATAAAATCTGAGTGTGAATTCTGTGATTTCTCAAGTTCATATCTCATAATCACAAGATTAGAGCAGTCATTACCTCTTCTTTAGTGATACTTCACATGAACCCTGCTGCAGGGCGACATTTCTTCTCTCTGATACACCCTCGTTCACTCTTTCTCTCTCTCTCTCTCTCTCTCTCTCTCTCTCTCTCTCTCCCCTGACATCTTCAGATCCTGGAGCGCTCCATCAAGCTGCTGTTTGAGACGCGGGACATCAGCCAGGTCAAGCAGTTCGTGCAGCGTCAGTGTGTGAAGGTTCTGGACGGCCGGGCCAGCATGCAGGACCTGACCTTTGCCAAGGAGTACCGGGGCAGCGGCTCGTATCGACCTGGAGCCTGCGTGCCTGCCCTTGAGCTCACCAGGTGTGTGTGTGTGTGTGTGTGTGTGTGTGTGTGTGTGTGTGTGTGTGTGTGTGTGTGTGTGTGTGTGTGTGTGTGGTTGAAATGTGGCGATAAATGCAGCTCTCATCTATCATTGTTAGAAGTATGTTTTCTGATACACTGAAGGTTCAATGTTTTGACTTAACTCTCAACACTTCTGCCCTCCTCTTTAAAGGATCTATAGAGATTCATTATTATTCATTCCTGTTGGCAAAACATGAAACCAATCAGATAGTTTTCACACCTGCAGAAAACTCCTGATATTATTATTTTTATTTTATTTTTTATTTTATTTAACCAGGAAAAAGTCTCATTGAGATTAAAAATGTCTTTTACAAGAGCGTCCTGGCCAACACAGGCAGCAGCACAATTTACAGGGTTTCAGACATAAAATACACAAATACAAGAATCACAAAAAGAACCATTCATCAGAATCTGTCATAAGTCATCAGCAACAAAGCGATCAAAAAGGGCAATATGAGTTATCTAAAACATCTACAGTCAGATATTTCTGCCTCCAGATCATTAAGACGACCTTTAAAAACATTCAAGGAAATCAGATCCCAAAGATTTAGAGTATCTTGCAACCGATTCCAAGAAGAGGGAGCAGCATACTTGAACGCCCTTTTTCCTAATTCAGTACGGGCTTTATCTGCAGGAGGAGCTGCACATGTTTCACTCAGTTTTCTCCTGCTACTATTCTTTCTGCAGCGCGTCCGATGTGAGAACGCAGCAGCAGGAGGATATGACAGCTACTTTACTGACTTTGTGACTCATTTTGAGTCAGAAACAGAACACTCATAATGGAGTCTGGGATGGATTACACTTCATGTCCACGTTGTAAACCTGTGCATGAACTGTTCTGTGCCGGAGCTCACCTCTTCCACACTAACCAGGGCTAAGTTAGTATACCGTGCTTGTGCAGGAATCAGAGCGCTCACACTAGTGACACACACTTACCTACTGCCCTTACTTTATGTTGGATGGAAAACACTTCAATCCTGCATCTGTCCACAGTGCGTGCGTGCGTGCGTGCGTGCGTGCGTGCGTGCGTGCGTGCGTGCGTGCGTGCGTGCGTGCGTGCGTGCGTGCGTGCGTGCGTGCGTGCGTGCGTGCGTGCGTGCGTGCGTGCGTGCGTGCGTGCGTGCGTGCGTGCGTGCGTGCGTGCCGCTCTGTGCAGTCCACAGACTGCACAGAGCGGCAGCAGCAGAGTGAGACAGAGCTTCCTGTCAGCTACAGTTACAGTAGTCAGTGTGAATCCAATTACTCCTTCCCCACAGTGCTCATTGTCTGGCTGCACTCGCCCGCATATATACTGTACCTGAGTCTGTTGCCAAGCAACCGAGCTCTTAATGGATAAAGAAGAAAAAAAAATCTGATTTCAGAGGGAAATATTCAGCCTCATTCATGAGCAGCATGCAGGTTCATGTGGTGTTTTATCAGGCGGGCTGATTCCTGATGTTTCTCAATTCATCATGATGATGAAAGAGTTTTTGTTTGATGAGAACTCGTTTAAATAAGTTTCATCCGAGCTCCCGTTCTGCTCTGAACCCGTTTTTGTTTTTTTCAGGCGTATGATGGCATACGACCGTCGTCTGGAGCCACGGGTGGGCGAGCGGGTGCCCTACGTGGTGGTGTATGGGCTGCCGGGCGTGCCCCTCATCCAGCTGGTGCGGCGGCCCATGGAGGTGCTCCAGGACCCGGGCCTCCGCCTCAACGCCACATACTACATCACCAAGCAGATCCTGCCGCCGCTGGCCCGCATGTTCCAGCTGATCGGCGTGGACGTGTTCAGCTGGTACCAGGAGCTGCCCAGGGTGAGCCGGAGATGGGTTTGATGCTCATGTCAGGAGAGGAGCAGCAGATAAAGCAAATAACTCAGTTTTTATATCAATCACAGAGTGATTTAAAAATGAGTAAGGTTTGACTCTCAATGAGTTTAGAGGATTCATTTCCTTCCGGCCATGACCGAGCCGCTCGCAGCTGAGTGGAGCAACACGGTGGATTGGTTTGTTGTTTTCCTTCCCGCCAAAATAAAAGTAGACTTTTGTTGAGTGGGGAGAGAACAAAGGATGAGGAGAAAATCTCTCCTGCTTCCTGCTGAGGATGGAGTGAGCCTCATCCAGCTGCAGAGCTGCCTCAGTCTTTGTGTCAACACTGAAGTTTAATTCAAACAGAGCTCCCACGCCCCCTGCTGGTGGAACTGAAAACAGCTAAAGGATAAATGACCATACAGTTTCCTCCAGCTATCAGACATAAACAGGGTCTGTCTTCATGTGTGTTTCCCTCAGGTCCAGAAGGCGTCCTGCTCCTCTGCCGTGGGGGGAGAGGAGGCAGGGAGGAAGGGAACCATCTCGCAGTACTTCACCACGCTTCACTGCCCCGTGTGTGACGAGCTGACCCAGCTGGGCGTGTGCTCGCGGTGCCGTGCTGAGCCTCAGCGAGTCGCTGTCACGCTCTACCAGGACATGAGACAGTGGGAGAGTCAGCAGGAGCAGCTGCTGAAGGTGAGACCAGAAATAAAGATCCAAACCGTTTCTTAATAAAAAGCTCCTTCAACACAGCTCTGTCAGAATCGTTGACTATAAAATATAATTCATTTAAGAACTGAAGTACTGAAGGAAAACATAAAGGAGGGTTTCTTTCTTGTGGAAGATTTAAGACCTCCACATCACTTTCTGTAAGCTTCATAATTATGCTTTAAAGTATCAGTCTGAGATGTAAGATGAGATCATTCTGTGTCATTATGTCTGATCAGAGCGCTGCTAGCCTTAGTGGTTAGTGTGCTCGCCCCATGTACAGAGACTGTAGTCCTCAAAGCAGACGGCCCAGGGAATCAGACCTGGGGCTTTTCTTGTGCATGTCATCCCCCACTCTTGCTCTCTCTCTCTCTCTCTCTCTTTCCCTCTCTATCTTTCTCGCTCGCTCGCTCTCTCTTTCTCTATCTCTCTCCCTCTCTCTCTTTCTCTCTCTATCTTCTCTGTCTCGCTCTCTGTCTCTCTCTCTATTTCTCTCTTTCTCTCCCTCTCTCCCTCTCTCTTTCTCTCTGTCTGTCTCTCTCTCTCTTCCTCTCTCTCTCCCTCTCTCTGTCTCTATTTCTCTCTCTCCCTCTCTCTGTCTCTATTTCTCTCTCTCTCCCTCTCTCTCTCCCTCTCTATCTTTCTCTCTCGCTCGCTCTCTCTTTCTCTCTCTCTCTTTCGCTCTTTCTCTACTCTCCCTCTCTCTCTCTCTCTTTCTCTCTCTATCTTCTCTGTCTCGCTCTCTGTCTCTCTCTCTCTCTATTTCTCTCTATTTCTCTCCCTCTCTCTCTATTTCTCTCCCTCTCTATCGCTCCCTCTCTCTCTTTCTCTCTCTTTCTCTCTCTCTCTATCTAAAAGCATAAAAAGCTCAAAAATAAAAGCTACCATCTGATCAAAGTATCCGTACAGAAAACAAGAGAAGGAAAGTCAGTGATGCAGCCGGTTCATACTACGATGAAACGTCTCTGAGAGGAGAATTATAATAAATGATACAGAAAGAAAGAAATCAAAGATCTGAAGGATGTACGTTTAGCATCTTGAAAACACGTCTCAGTAGATATAAACATTTCATACCAGAGCTCAGATGTCACTTTGTGTTGTTTTCTCACTTTGGTCAATCAGCATGCTTCACAGTATTTATTAGGACTGCTCCATCGTGGCAAAAATTCTAATCCGCCATTATTTTTCACAGATTTTTGAGATCAGGATGATTAAACTGGATTACTCGTTGATTTGACAAAATCTGCATCACAGGAATTTATCGCACTTATCCTCTCTGAACACTTTGAAAACAAATAAGTGAAAAGAAGGAACTCGGTATGACAGATGGCCTAGCGGGTATGTCACACTCCCCGTGTATGGAGTCCTCTTCACAGCAGCCGTAGGTTAGAATCCAACCTCTGCCCTTTGCTTTGTGTCATCTCCCCCTCTCTCTCCTCCCCACACTTCCTGTCTCTCTTCAGCTGTCCTCTCTAATGAAGGCAAACGGCCCAATAATATAACTTGAAAAAAAGAAAGAAAAGGATTCACTTAGTTAACAAAATATAACATCTAACACTTTAAACATTTACCCACGTCACAAAACCTGTGCCCACAACGACATGCGGCACAGTAATCCTTTAACCTCGATCATCCTGTTTTCATGATCGTGGGAAGAGAAAATCAGAATCATACTTGAAACTCGATTAATTAACCTGCACTATTACACAGAAGAAGAAAAAAACAAAGTGATGAGGAGTAGAGCAGCTGTTTCTCTGTTCTGATTATTTTGTGATGCTGTTAATAATAATAAGAAGGTGTTTACTCCAGGCTAAAATGTTGTTAGAGTAACAATCACATCCTGTCAGTGGCAACAACAACAACAAGCACACTCAGTGACAGACTTTGTTCAAACATGTTTCCCTTGAAACATCATCAGCCTGTAGAAGTCAGCTGGAGTCATTATGAAAGCTCTCTCCAGTGTTTAGAATTTGGCCTGCAGTACCCAGTTTGAAGACTAGGTGTCAGAGTTACATATTTCTTCTTTAACAGACCTTTGAGTCGTTGGGACTCCACAGTGTGTAAAAATACAGCCCATGTTTGAACTGAAACAAAAAGTAAACTCTTGAATCTCAAAGCAGCTCTCTCTACAAGAACACGCTGAGGTAGATCAAATAAAGAACCTTCTGGATTTGAACCCTGTGAGGTTGGAGCTGCTCCTTTCTGTCCCTCAGACGCAGAAGAAGAAAAACAAACAGTTGATTAATCATCAGTTGTGTCCAACAATCATTTGCTCTGTGTTGTCTTTGCTCACACCGAGTCATAAAAATAAAGACACTGTGCTGTCACTCTTCACTGGAGAGTTTTACAGACAGACAGAGAGAGAGGAAGAAGACGAGGAGTGGGAAATCATCTCGTTTCACATTTCAAGAATAAAGCTGGATGTCTAGAATATTTTTCACTTTCATCTCTGATTGTCTCAGGTGAGGTCAGGGCAGGTTCTCTTATTGGATAATGTCCAATGTAACCAATGTCCGATGTGTGTGTGTGTGTGTGTGTGTGTGTGTGTGTGTGTGTGTGTGTGTGTGTGTGTGTGTGTGTGTGTGTGTGTGTGTGTGTGTGTGTGTGTGTGTGTGTGTGTGTGTGTGTGTGTGTGTGTGTGTGTGTGTGTGTGTGTGTGTGTGTGTGTGTGTGTGTGTGTGTGTGTGTGTGTGTGTGTGTGTGTGTGTAGATCTGCAGGAACTGCAGCGGCTGTGCAGAGCGTCAGGTTCCCTGCGTGTCTCTCGACTGTCCCGTCCTCTACAAGTTGTCCCGGGTCAACAGACAGCTCTGCAAGGCGCCCTACCTCCGACAGCTGCTGGAGCAGTTCTGATTGGCTCCTGAACTCTGGAGCTCTCCTGATTTGGTGCTAATGTCTGCCCCGACCCCCCTGACCCCTCTTTACACCCTGTGTTTCATCGTCCACTTGGTTGTAAATGTCTGAAATGGTGCTTTGATTGAACCCTCATTCTGTCTGCTAAATGTTGTTTGTTATTCAGTATTTCTCCTCCTGTGGGGGGAGTTGTGCCCCCCGTCCTCCCCCCCTCCTCTCCTCCTCCTCACTCCTCCTGGGGCGTGTGTTTGTCCTCATGCTTGTTCGCTGCCATCTCATTGAGCTGTTTTTGGCTGAGTGAAGCTGACGTTTGCAGTGAGGCAGCGACAGACTCGTTGAACAGTTTGAAGTCATCGTCTTTTGAGGAGCTTCTTCAAGACAAACAATCAAAACCACTAATTGACTTTTCACCAGTTTTATATCCACTGCGGTCTCTCTCTCTTTGTAAATAATCTTGTATAGCTCCATCCATCCTCTCACTGTGCATCATCAGTGTTTAAACAAACTAACGCAGTCAGATCTATGTTTCTCCTCCTGCAGATTTGACACAGCGCTCTTATCGAGTGTTCGTACTGGAAACCATTTCAGTTTTTAAAAACATCTGGGACTGTTGCAATACTGTATTTTGATAATTTATATCATGAAGTCTTTTATTTCTTTGTGCTTCTATGGGTTTGTGTTTGTTTCCAATTTTCTGTGCAAACAAAAAAAAAAAAAAAAAGGACGCGTCATCAGAGGCGACCTTCAGTCCCCCCCCCTCACAGCCGCACACAGAGCCGGTGTGTTTGTATAAATGTAAAGATAATAAAGATGAAGGCGGTGCTTTTGGTTTGTTTTTAATGAACATTGCTGTGGGTGGAGGTTTCAGATTGATATAATAAAAAGTCAATGTATTAAAACGTCTTCTGTCCATGATTCATTTTGAAAAACAAGACGAGACGAGCACACATCACAGTACACGACAAACACTCACACTGCCCCGTTGGATTCTGTCAGCTGATGAAGCGCTTTAGAAAGCTGCGTCATCGTTCACACTGAGCAACACAGTCTCAGATATAACCTGAACATTTCTTCACCCAGAGCCTGCACAAGTCTCCTCTCACAAACAGAGCAACACATAATGTAAAGTGTATCACTTCATGTTTTTCTGACTCTAAAATGTGTCTCTAGTCAGTCTACAAACCCCCCAATGATGAGAAAAGTTCATCCTCTCCGTCTTTTGTCTACTCTACCTTTCAGAAAATGTGCTCAAACAGGCCGTTTGGAGATTTTCCAGACAAATGGAGCTGCCAATAACAGATGATATCTGATTAGACTCCTTCATTTGGTTCATTGAGATTCGATGTAGTCAGAATGACAGTTCTTACTCAAATATTAAAATAAAAAGACATGGAAGCAGATTCTATAGGGTGTCAATGTAGCTTGACTGTTTGAACAACGGACTTCCAGATATGACTCATAGATGGGTCTATTAATCCACAATATTGTGTCTTGTAAATTGTACTTTGTAACTTTGTGTTTTTGCTGCTGCCTGCATTTGCCAGGTCTCCTTTCAAAAAGACCAACCTGGTTAAATTAAATAAAAAAACACTTTGAGAAAACTCAGGACGAGCTGCATGTGTGAATGCAAACATCAACATTTTTCCCTCTGACTTCACCTGGAGTTTCTCCTGACAGATTCCATGTACTGCTGATGTGAGAACACAGCAGGATATTATCAGGAGAATTCACCTCGAGCCAGTGGAGTCAGTGCACACCACCGCTACCATCTCAGATGTTCTCATTATAGCGTCGTACAGAGGACTCTTCTTTTTACCTCAGGAGACCCCCACCCCCACCCCCACCCCCACCCCCACCCTCTCCTGTCTGAAAGAGATAGTCTCCTGCTGTGAGGTTCATGTGAACAACCAGGTCAGGAATGTCAGAATCAGTCCTCCTGAAATGATCCACAAGTTTTCAGGAGTGCAGATGTGAAAACAGCTCTAGAGAATGGATGAACATCTGGCCAACAGCTGCAGCTTAATGAAGAATCTTTTTTTTTAAGTTGCATCATAAATGAGACTCGTAGGTTAGAAAACGATTCACCTGACAAAACTCAAAGTTGGTTTCAGCCTAAAACAAACAAACAAACAAACAAACAAAAACTGATCTTTACAAAAGTGCAACAAGAAAATAAATTCATTCAGATCTTACATCATGACACACGTCTCCTGTTTATGAAACCACATGTTTAAAACATCTGTTTTTGGCAGCAGGGAGGCGAGATGATGAAGATGATGAAGAGGAGGAGGATGACGGTCCCTGGTTCAATATGTCCTCGAGCAAGGCACTGAATCCTCCCAGCCATGACACCTCACTGACCTCTGACCTCACTGTGAAGGAGAAAAGGGGCCGACACAGACTGAATGAAATAATAATCATTAGAATCAGTCAAACCAGTCCACACACCAGTGGTCAGTGGGCTGCACAGGTGTCGGTCTCAGGTCGGTCGTCGCTGCACGGTAAACCTTCAGGTCTCAGTCTCTCTTCTCTCTGTCCAGAGAGAGCAGCAGTTTGCGTCTGGGCGAGTCTCCCACCAGAGACACCGTGTCAGAGAATCCTCCTACAGGCTCCGTCAGCTGGGAGCTGGAGGAGGCGGAGCTTGTGACGTCAGGGGGCGAGGACGCCTTGCTTGGTGAACTGATGAGACTCGATGCGTCGTCCATCTCGATGACCTCAAAGTCTGCGTCGTTCCACTGATCCGCCTCGTTGTCCTCCTCCTCTTCTTCCTCTTCTTCCTCGTTGGCTCCTGAGTCCAGCAGCGCCTGACGGAACTCGCTGTCGTCCGTGTCCGGCCGGCCTCTGGCGCGGGGTTTCCTACTCTGGCCACTGGGGGCTGAAGCCAGCTTGTACATGACGGGGAACAGGATGGAGGTGAAGGTGGCGGTGACGAGCGACAGGTACATGAGCAGCGGCTGCTCCGGGAACTTCCCCAGCAGGAAACCCACGAGGGCGGGCAGCACCATCTCGCCCAGCGCCGCGCCCACCACAAAGGCCGACGCCGTGTGTCCAGTCACCGTGGTGTACTGCTCCACCCAGGAGATGCCGCTGGGGAAGGTGGTCGCCATGGACGCGCCGTACAGACCGGTGCACAGCCACAGCGCGGCGTGCTCTTTGCTGAAGAGGCAGAGGAGCAGCGAGGACACGGTGGAGCCCACCAGGCTGAGCAGGATCATGGTGGCCGGGTACACGCAGGCCGCGAAGAAGATCGCCAGACCCCGACAGGCCGCAAAGGTCGCCCAGAAGAGCGAGTTGAGCCCGGCCGCCTGCGCCTGAGGCATGCGGGCGTAGTCCTTGGCGAAGGTGAAGATAAAGGAGCCGTAAGCTACCTCGGCGCCCACGTAACCGAAGAAGAAGAAGAAGAGCAGGACGATGAGCGCAGTGTGATGTTTGGCCACCAGGGGCTTTCCCGACTTAGTGCGAGCTTTCTCGTGCGTCCTGCTGCCGCGGGCGAACAGGACGAAGAAGAGGAAGGAGACGAGGAAGACGAAGCAGCCGATCACGATGTAGGCCCACATGGACTTGAGGGTGCTGGTCCTGCTGTGGACGTAGCGGATGAGCGTGTGAGGCTCGGGGGCTTTGGTCGTCCGCTCTGTGGCGACGGGAGGCGTGGAGTTGTCGGACGCCGCTCCGGGCCCGAATACCAGCTTGGCGATGATCGGCGACGCAAAGGCCCCGGCGGCGAAGCTGAAGTGCAGGGCCTGCATGTGAGGGCCGGCCTGCTCGCCCCACGTGTTCAGGATGAGGACGTTACCGCCTGAAGGGAAGGAGGACGCAACCGTCAAGCAAAATATAAAAAACAACAGTTTTCACTCTTTTGATTCATTCAGAGTTTTTTATCTAAATGATGAAGAGGACAAACAGCTTGCTCATTAGTCATGTTGCTCACTCCAGGTTCAAACGTCTGCACTGACTAAACTCTGATCTCATCCAGTGTATTCATGTCATTATAACACTGATTATTCACCTGACATGTCCATCAACATCTTATTTCAAGATGAGACTAAAACAGGCATGACTTACTTATAAGAAGTAAAAATATCTGTCTATGCAGCATGCACATGTTTAAATGGTAAATGGACTTGAACTTGTATCGTTCTTCTCTAGTCTTCTTACTCAGTGTTTTCATACATTCACACCCTGATGGTAGAGGCTGCTATGGTTAGTGGTTAGTGCATGCGTCCCATGTATGGAGGCTATAGTCCTCCAAGTAGGCGGCCCGGGTTCCACTCCGACCTGTGGCTCCTTTCCTGCATGTCATTCCTCACTCTCTCTCTCTCTGATTTCAGACTCTATCCACTGTCCTATCTCTACATTAAAAGGCACAAAAAGCCAAAAAATAAATCTTAAAAAAAATAAATAACTGATCCATTTATTCTCAAACTGTGGTACACGGGATCCTCCTTGTGGTACACTGGGAGTCCATGATTTTTATTTTATTTTTTAAATAAAAGATGTTCAAATCAAACGGTTGACACGCAAAGCTGTGATGGCAAGCAGAGGAAGAAAATATGCCAGTTAAAATATTTTTGCATTTGTGGCTCCAAACAGGAAACATTAGAAAGTAAAGGTGCGGCGACATATGACTCCAGTTTGTGTTCTTTTGGAATGTAACAGAGTACGAGTCAATAATGAATAATATGAATATCAGGATGTATACAGGAAGTGTATAAGCACAGCCCTTCAATGCTACTGTATTTCAGTGTCGGCCATAATGGTCAGCAAATATTTTCTGTGGTGGGATTCATTGTGAAAAGTTTGAGAACCACTGAGCTTACATAAGTGTCTTGAAAAAATATATATTAGACATCTCCTCTTTAAAATGACAAATAATCAAATAATGTTTTCTTCTGGCTTCTTCAGGTGAGTGTGGCGTTGATAAAGGGTAATGAGAATGTAATTTTCTGCAGTGTCCTTGTTTGTGTAAACGCCCCACAAGAAAAACGGCTGACGTGTCAAAACTACGACGGACCTTATCTGACTTATCAGAGCAGGAAACAGAAACAGGAGCGACCAGGTGAAACAAGTGACAACGGGTTTCCCAGTGAACCAGAACTTCAGCAGGAACCTGAAACCAGCTCACCTCAGAGGAATGCAGTGTATGGTAAGTGGTCTGAGTTTGAAATGTACACGAGAGAGATTCCTCTAAAAGGTTTACTGTGATGTCAGAAGATCTTCATTTATAGATCATAAGAAGGATATAAAAATATAATAAGTCAAAGTGAGTCAGCTATCATCTGTAAACAGACTTCTTATTCACATAGAGGGATGTTTCTCTTGTTATATTTTTTCTTAATCATTAGGTCAGAGGTTCTCAAACTTTACCTCGGAGCCCCCGACTTGTATCTGAGCTGACCCCCCCCCAGGATCCACACAGAAGGAAAAAAAAAAGATCCATTGCTTTTAAAAATCAACATTAATGTTAAACATTTTCATTGATAAACTCTAGAGGTGGAACTCGACGATGATAGAAGCAGCATGTCCATGATTAGAGGATTTGATTGGCTACAGGAGATGTCAGACGTCAGAACAGGGGGGAGGGACCTCCTTTCAACTAAGGCTCTCATTGGCTAGTAAAGGCTGTTATGAAGTGTCATCAAAAGGTCAGCGGAGTAGCTGAGTTTTTTCAGTGAACATTTCAGTGGATCGTTCTGGATTTAATCTTTTAATGGATTTCAATGAGACTCAGTTTGGTGGATTATTTTCAAATGGTAAGTTAAATCAGGTTGTTTGTTTGTCGGTGGTCTGACAGATGTGTAGATGTTGGCTGCTGTGATGGTTGAATGTGGACGACGGGACAAATCTGACCAATCAGGCTCGACTATAGAAATCCTTAGTCGGGACAGGCCTAATAAAATCCCAACAGAAAACACATGTTCACACCAAGAGAGCTTTTCTTTCAACGATCCAATCAGTGTTTAATCAGGATTTTAGTTCATAATGTGCAAATCTTATTTTGACAACCTCAGAGCAGTCAAAGCCTGGCGCCCCCCCCCCCCCTCCCCTGAGATCTTTAGCGCTCCCTAGGCTGTCCTGAAAGCGCATTAGGTGATATCTCACCTGTATCCAAAACCCCCATGGACATCCCGATGCTGGACATGAGGCCGGTGAGGATCAGAGCCTGTTTGCAGAACGGGATGGCACACATCCCAAACGCTGTGATGAGCATGGACAAGCCTGAAGGACAAAGAGAAAACCTTATTATGTCTTTAATAATATGTGAAACTGTGATTTAAAACAAGCTAACACACCTAGCAACAGGTGGTTACCATGACTTACAACATCTTTAGTCACAGCAGGTTGAAAATCTGATGACATCTTGTCATAACAACACAGAGACGGTAAAGTGTGAAGCTGAGACTCGTCTCCAGCAGCACCTTTTTTTTAAAAAAGGGGGTTACCTAGCAGGAGGTGGGGGTTCATGCAGTCGAAGAGAATGCCTCCTAAAAGCGACCCGCCGATGTAACCTGCAGAGCGGCCGACGAAGATGTAGGAAATGTTGCTGATGTTCTTCTTCACGTTCACAGCCAGGTCCTCGAACGTGGGGCCCAGAACCGAGATGCTCATCCCCTGAAACAAAACAAGAGAGAGTGGAGTCACTGCACAGATCTCCCTCCACCCCTCACAGGTATTTATTTATATGTGTTTGGAGCACGAGTTATCATAATGCGGAAATCTGCTCACTTAACTTTACCTCTGCCTTGTCTTACACGGTCTTATCCCTGAATAAACACAGAAGAGCTCTGAAAACCAGGATGTGTGTGTGTGTGTGTGTGTGTGTGTGTGTGTGTGTGTGTGTGTGTGTGTGTGTGTGTGTGTGTGTGTGTGTGTGTGTGTGTGTGTGTGTGTTAAGCTTCCTCAAAGCAAATTGAGGAAGAAGCATAACCGCCACAGAAGAAAGCAGGTACACAAGCCACAGGTGTACACTGATGGACTTCATTAATCTGATCTGGTGGGTTGAAGAGCAAGTTTTCCAGCCATGTAAATCCTGTCTGTACAGGATGTTACAACATCACCTTTAATACATTAACAACTCACTGGTTTTAAGTTTTAAAGGCTTGACTGAATACATTTTGCATTTTAGGTCTTTTCTAAACACCTAGTAGGCTTAGACCTTAAACCACACAAACAGCTGAATTAATGCATTCTTTTTTCATGCAATCATCTGACTTCACAAAGATTATAAACTAATTCCTTGAGCATAAACAGGTGTTTGTTTTGCCAGCTGGAGATTTGAATTATTACACAGCTCGTAGTTGTTAAGTGAGGGACATGTCTGCAGCTGTTAGTAAACTCCTCAGTCTCTGTGTTAGATTACCAAGCCCAGGAAAGATGCACAGAGAGCCAGGGTGACCATCCAGCGCCCACACGCTCCTCCTCCTCCTCCTCCTCCTCCTCCTCCGACCACCTCCACCCGGGCGTCGCATCCCGCTTTGCTCGACCTCTTGGCCGCCTTCAGCACACTCCTGAGCCCCCTCCCGGTGTCCTTCCTCTTGTCAAACAGGGTGTCCTCCTCCTCCTCCTCCTGCTCGTCGTTGTCGTCGACGTCGTCTTCGTCCTCCTCCATGCTGGCGAACCGAACGTGTTTCTTTTTCACGGCGGAGGAAGACATACCTGTCACTACCTTTATCACCTGTCTCACTACCTGTCTCACTACCTGTATCACTACCTGTCTCACTACCTGTATCACTACCTGTATCACTACCTGTCTCACTACCTGTATCACTCCTACGTCTGTTGCAGCTGCAGGTTTGGGTGTTGCGCCGTCAGACTGCCTCCAGCCCGACGACAAATGACAACTGTCAGCGCTTTAATTGGCCTCCTGCCGTCCTGTTCACGCTTCCTGTTTGTAGTTTTAGCGGCTGAGGCGTTCAAAGGAAGTCGGTCATCATTAAAGCACCTGGACGGTTCAGGTAGAGAGAGGGTACCAGCCGCTGCAGCCGCGGAGACCCTCCATATGCTAACAGCGACTGTATGACTGCTTGACGTTTGCAAAGATCGTCTATTAACCAGAAAGCTCACTCGGTGTATCAAGGGGAGTCAGTAATAAAGAATCAGGGACTTAGCCTGGGGTGGCTGAATCAGGGCCCCTGACTTCTGCAGGGGAGACAGGAAGTGATAGGAATGGACACAGTCACATGAATGAAAAGCATTTACTCTTTCTATCTCCAAAATAAAGTGACAAAACGTATTAGTTTGCTGGTTTTGTATTGATAGTATTGGTGATGGTACACTGTACATAGTTCTATTATGGTGATGGGAATATGAATTATTGGTGTAATTAATTACATATTTAGATTATTAGATAATGGCATACAAGTAATTATTTTATATTATATTATATTATATCATATTATATAGCCTACTATTGTATAATTAATACCTATTACACTGAGTTAAAAGCGGTAGGATTAGATACATTTTTACTTCTTCCTACTCCTTTCCAGGCATGTAAGAGCAAATAAAGGACGATGAATTTTCTTTCTTATGTTGTGTATTTATTTTATTTGTTTTCTGCATATTTTTTTAATTACAGCATTTTTATTTATTTATTTATTTTATTTACATGTTCAAAATAAAGGAATCAAATCAATTCAATCAATTTAATTCAGCTGGTAAAGCCTCAGCATCCACTCCTTGTAAAAACACTGCGACCCAAATATCGACCCAGTTAATTTTTTTTCAACCATCAGATGAAAAATCGTGCAGCAAACGTGACAGAACAAAGAAACGGAACAAAACCAATAAAAAACTATTTGACACTAGACCATATTTTTCCAGCCACACATTTGTGACCCACCGAAAACTGCTCCCTATGTCCAAATCTACTATTTAAAATACCAATCAAATGAAAAATGTTACACTGAAATGCAAAGGAAGCTAACAGCAGCCTGTTGAACCACATCCACAATAGTTGATTTGAACAAAAGGCCTGCCTCTATTAAGGCATACAGCCAATAATAGTTCAGGATTTTGGGCTGGCCAATTTGATTTCTAGGGTAGCCTCGGTCACCCCCTTTCTCCTCCCCTGTAAAGAATGTCAGGAAGTGTGAGACTGTGCATACTCAGGGTATCAAAAAAGTTACTGGAGAAAATATTGAAAAATTGCAGAAGAGATACCCGCACACCAACTCCACTGGGCTTAAAAGCCCAAAAAAGAAAGTCCACAGGCTGAGATGGATGCAAGATAAAGTGGTAAAAAAATATATATAAAAATAGGAGCTACAGTGCAGAAAGGTGAATAATAACAGCAGCAAAGTTTCAGTCATTGTCTATCAGCAGTGTTGTCAAGGACTGAAACGTTTATTTTTACTTTATTGATACAAATAGCAATACTAGTATTGTTCTAAAACAGAAGATGAACGCATGTTTAAACTATATCTGCTGATATCAGAAAGGTTTAACAGGACTATACCTGCATCACATCCTGAATTTAATACAGCACTCAATTAGAGAGTCAACATGTGATCATTCAGTTAAATATAATGTTCAAAAATGATTTATTATTGAGAACCATAAATGTCAACACTGATGCATGGTCACTTTAACTGTATCATGTCCTATGTTGAATAGGATTTGTTCTCGTTACCCATATTTTATTGTATATATCTGTATTTTTCTATACTATAAAATATCCATAAAATAAATACATAAACCAAATAAAGATAAAGATAAAGATAAACTTTATTGATTCCCTATGGGGGAAATTGTTTTGTCACAACAGCTCAAGAAACAGGAATATAATTATCAAAAATAAAAAGAAGTTAAAAATCTAAGTAAAAACTAAGTAATCAGTTAAATAAAGGGAGAAAAAAATACAGTAATAGAATAATACAAGGTATGTAAGTAAATCAGGGTTTTTATTCATTAGCATCAATTAAAAATGGTGCCATCGCTTTAAATATTATACTAATAATTAGATAGACAAATGTAGAAATCTATCTTCTACGTACTGTTACCCTTTTCCTGTTTTTAACCTAAATACCTGCACGAAGTTATCGTTCTTGGTTTCCCAAATCCAGAGCAGAGTGACACCTCTTCTCTCAATTTGTTGCCTGGTTCGGGGCAAACCGGGCAAACAGGAAGTGATCGCCACTACGTCAGCACAAAGAGGAAACTGCGACCTCTAGTGTTTGGAAGCAGAAAGGTCAGCGTAATAAAAACAACCAATCACGAGAGAGGGGACTGTAAGACTGTAGGCCTACGAAATACTACAACAAATTATAATACGTTTATAACGGTACAAATAATATATCATAACATCATAACAAATATTAAAGGGGATATTATTATTATATTATTATTATAATATTACAATATTTGTTTGTGTGTTTGTTTACTACGTGAATCACATCAGTGCTGATATCCAGATCAACATCTCCACCTCCACTGTGATATTACTTTTATTCAACAAGAGTAAAAATCAACAACAGATTAATGTTTAACTCCACCAACTCAAACTAGACTGTTGCTAAGCAACCTAAACATTTTATTCTACTGTTGGTGTCCATGGTAACCACAGAGCAGCTCCTCTTTAGAATGAACATTGTGTGTTATAAGAAATGAATGTGATGATAAAACCAGTGACATCAGAGTCTGAGGTTTGATTCTGAGGTTTGAGATGATGAATAAAGAAAAACTTTGTCAGCTGTAAATGTTCATTAAAAGTATTTAGAGCTCCTGACTGAGCAGGAGGAGGGATACATGATGTGAAAAGTCCCCACTGATGTTGTTCTACTACTAGTATATATAACTGCAGTTATTTTAGACTTTACATCCTCGTAAATGACCCTTTATTTGTTGATTCAGACTCATCATGCAGGTGTTCATATTTGTGTGTTTCAGGGAGTTTAAAAGCTGTAATAGTTTTGACTCGTGCTCTCACACTTGATTAGCTTCACAATGTACCAACACTCCTGCGAGCATGGATGTAAATAATCCATATAAAAACATCTATGTGTTGTCTTTGTGTCACTTAAGGTTCATTATATGTTTGGGAGGGATAAGCACATTTTATAATGCTGAAAAAACATTTTGTTCACTTGGAGTTTAAATGAATTACAGGATGGCTGTACAGGACCTGGAAGGTCGGGGTTCAATCCCCTGCTCCTGTCTGATGTGTCCTTGGACTGGAGTTCACCCCCCCCCGCCCCCACCAGGCAGCACTTCTTTTCAGTCTGATGACAAACCCCGCCCCTCCTTAAGCGGTAAGAACCACCGTGACGCCTGATATGAACCTGATATATATCATGTGACTGGACACAGAGCAAGGGAAAGATTCCTGAGGCAGCCTGAACTCAGGAAACACAAGTCTTTTAACCTCCCAGATATGAGTGGAGAGAGGTCATGAGCTTGTGAGAGACGGTGAAGCATCACGTTTAGCCCTGAGCTGACCGCCATGTTTACTGTGATAAACTCTACTGTCTGTGTTTGGTTTACGACTCAGGAACATCTCTTAAACCTTTGAACCATCATTGAAGTACAAACACTACCTTTCACCATGGAGCCATAAAAATGATTAGAGCTTGTTCATGAAATATCTTTAAGGTCGTAACTCAGCGACGACACGCTGTGCCAGCCTTCAAAAGTGATTTATGTTTACCTAACTCTACATGACATGTGTAGTTCAGTACTAATGTGACATAATCCATCTGTTCCTGCAGGGGGCGCTGGAGTCTCATCAATGGTGGTCTCCATGCTGGAAATGCTGTCTCAGACTAACTTTCAGTCAACCTAACAACAGACTGAGAGCTGGAGCTGAGGCGGGTTTTGAACCTCTTGACAAACCGTTCACTGCACCCACCTGTCAATCAGGTCAGCTACACGCCTTATTGTGAATAACTCTTATCCTTTATTGAATCCAAACGGATGAGTCATCAAAAAATCCCTCCCTGTACAGTGAGTGTCGATCAAGACATGAGCTAATCACACCTATTTGTTTTTTTGAACCAGACTGGAAACATGTATTTCTACTGTAAAAACAGTTTTTGTGTATGTGACTTCATGTTGCTTCTGCAGCCAGTTCTCTAGTGGACACTCAAGGAACTGCATGATTTTGCACTTCTGCACCTCACTTCATGTTTCAACCCCGGAGGTTGATGCTGGATTATAAATAAAACACCACAAGGCAATAAGTGAACAGAAAGCAGGACACAATTTATGCAACATAAAAGCGGATTTAAAGTCAGTAAGAAAATTGTTTTCTTACAGCAAAGCTTTACAGAAATAAATCTTCATCTGAATTTGCAGCAAACACAAAACAAATGCAAACATTTGAATACATAGATTTTAAAAATGAGGCCAAAGATTAAGAGCAAATTACCAATAAAGCAGATTTGAAATGGAGGCGTCCTGTTCGCTTTAAGACAGAAGTTTAGACTGTGTGCCTTAAAGTCGTCTCAAAACGAAAACAAGTCATGCGATACGTTTGGCTTTTTTTTTCTCTAAATGTCTCTTTGGATGTCCCAGGTCATCGTAAAGAAGTGTTTACACGGCAGTAAGAGAATTACATTAGTTAAAAAAAAAAAAAAAGGAAATGATTAGATATGAAATTTTAATGCTCGTATAGCAAAGAGGTTTACAATCAAAGTTCAGAGGTACAAATTAAGTAATGTCTTTGTCCAGACATTACTCCAGGCTCTCATTGGTGAAAGGAAAAACTAAACAGTCATGCAATTACAAACAAAGAAGGTATGCATAGACAGCGGCTGGGATTTCATCACTAGAATATTCATATTAGGAGAGGAGGAGGATGTAAACGCTGCTGACAATTGTCACAGTTGAATTAAAAAGAAGGCATTTGTGGTGAATTATTGAGGAGCAGAGCTCGATCACTGTGTAAGACTTGTCAGTTTATTTGTGTTTTATTTGACTTCCTCACATGGGGGAACATGGGCACTGTGATGCTCCAGGTGGGGGGGAGAGGGGGGGTTAAGCTCATCTGAGGTAGAGTGTCACACGTCTGCAGAGGAAATGTCGTGGACACTCAATTGTTTCTCTGAGCAAACTCACCTCCAGACACGTTGGGACGACACTTCCTGTGTGGCAGCAGACTAAAAACAGCATCAAGACACTTTCAGCCATTTTTTCATTTCAGTACATTTTGGTTTTTTTGGTCTTAATGAAATCATTCCTTCAATTACAGCACGACACTTAAAACACTACAAAATAAATAAAATATGAAAACATGAACTCAGGGTGCAGAGTTTAATAATCAACCCTGACAGCACTGGACTGATTGTCAATGATTGGTCAAAGTCATGTACTCTGATTACAAGAGAGGATAAGAGACTGTCGCTCAGTGTCTATATAGTCGTATATCGATGAGTACGTATGCACTGGTATTCTGTTATTTTGGTCCTTTTCAAAGGTCATCCAAGCAGCTGCTCTGTGTTTGTAATGTTTGATGACTCTGAGCGAGTCAAGCTTCACGTTCTTTGATAAACAAGGAGGCGTCACAGGTTTCAGTCCAGGTGAGTAAACGCAGGTTTGATGACACTTGCAGAAAATACAGGAGCAGATTCAACGAGCAGAGAGTGACTCCAAACACAACCTCCCACTTCTGCTCTGCTCCTTTTAAAAACACTGCTTCATGTCGACACTGTGGTCAACGAGCAGGCTTCAACACAACGTTTAAATGTGATTAATCAACATCCTGAGCTAGTGTCCAGATTACACTGTAAAAACTTCCTATAATGATAATTAGATATTCTTATGTTTTCTTTTTTTGTATGCTAGGATACTGTTAGCTTTCTCAATGACCTCGGTTATATCGGTCGTCCTTTTAAAACGCCACTGAAGGTTTGACATCGTGAGAGTTTCTTTGATTCTGCGCTGAAAGTTTATTATCTAATAACAGCACACTTCTGTTTAAACCACATTCACCTGACAAGCCAGATAAACTTTTTATTCCAAGATATAAAGAATGAAGCTTGAGGGCACTGGTAGCCTGGTGGTTAGTGTGGTTCCTGTCTCTAAAATAAAGACACACACAAAAAATCAAAGCCTGAATTGTTTGTAATAAGTTTCTAAAAGTGTCTAATGAGATATATTGACTCACTTCTTGAGCCTCAACACGCAAAGTGAGCTCGCCACATTGGCTGATTTTATTTTTCAGTTATGACAATCAGAGCAGGACTTATTTTTGGCTTCTAATATCTTACTATAAGATTTTTCATCTGGACTTGTCAGGTGAGTGTGGCTTATATTAACTCTAATGAGATATTGTTGACTAGAAATTAGATAAGTACACTTGCTTAGATTTGAGTTTAGTGTGTGCTGCCTGATTGTAAAGGTCACATGTTATTTAAAAAACATTTCTCCATATTCCTCTAACACTAATATGTGTCTCTAGTCTCTCTACAAACCCCCCAATGATGTGAAAAGTCCATCCTCTGCCTGCTCCACTTTTCAGAAAATGTGTGCTCAAACAGGCCGTTTGGAGACTTCCCTTCATGACATCACAAAGGGCAGTAACCCCTCCCCCAGGTGGGTGACACTCCCACAGCTAGGAGTTTGTTCTGACCTCTGAGTCTGCCTTCTCACCGTAAACTATAGGGCATTGAGCAAGAAACATGAGACACCCAAGCCCTTCCAGAGAGGGGGTGTGGTCAGACACAGCTCATTTACATATTTAAAGGTACAGACACAGAAACAGCCTGTTCTGAGCAGGGCTGAAATAGAGGGGTTTATAGACATGATCAAATACAGGATCAGAGTGGATTTAGAACAAGAAACTTCACACACATGTTTTGAGGAGCTCTGAGACTTATTTAAACTGGTTGAAGAGGAGGAGAATATGAGACCTTTAAACACTGGACTTTGTCTACACTCAACTGGACGAGTTATGCCGTGAGACCCCAAACAACATTTTCTATATTGGCACAACATATGCACATATGCTTGACTATATCTGTGATAGGCTTATATATCGCCTCTACTTTAGCGATATGAGTGCTACGCTAACTAAGATAATAGCTGTGGTTTTGTTTTTGAACACACAGATTTAAGACCGGGATGTTATTTATCTAAGTTTTGGCACGATGCAAATAAGCTCTCAAAAAGTGGAACTTGTCCTTTAAAGATACAACTAATAAACACTGCTGAGGTTTGACAGGAGCAGGATTTGATGAGTCAGAGCAGCTTTAACCCTGCAGACACACACTCGATTGACTCCCTGTGTAAATAAAGGAATGTGCACAATGCAAGCAAAATATAAACTTAAATCATAAAGACCTTAAATGTGAATGTATATGAGACCCCTTAAAAATGACAGGGGTTCTGTAATAAAGCAGCTGTCTCCTTCAGGTCCCTATCATTCCAGTTTATACTTTGTTTAAGTCTAACAAACGATTCTCAAGTTAACAATCAAACGAGGACCAGAGTGAACCTGGAGCTCGCTGGTATTGGAACCGCTCAGGTCGAGCTCAGATTGTTCAGATACAGAGCTGCTGGTCTTGAGATGTCAAATGTTTGTGCTAAAAGCTGCTTCCCTTGAGGTGTCCGAGCACGTTCACAGCTCGGACGATTCACAACACTTAAAAGGATCCCTCAGAGCGCCTCTCTGACGTCACACGTACAATACGTCCCTTTGCATTACCCTCGATATTTACAACATTTGGAACAAATCAAGGCCGTGTTAAGAGGAGGGGCCCGTCTGAGGGGACACATCACAGACGGCAGCTTTCAAAAGAAAATCTTCACAATGACAAGAAACGGAGATATTGATTGAACCAGCAGCAGCTCACCTTTGGTGTAATTGGATGTGGTCTTTATATGTCTACATTTAAGCCTTTCAAAACGGATCACAGAGAATGATAGTCTACCTTAAGAGTGCAATCTGAAAGTGTTGCATTAATACGAAGCACAGCACGCCTTCTTTCCCTTGTGTTAAAATGTGCAGATTCCACTCTTTCCATTTTAACTTCAAGTTCGGCTGCTGCACTATCAATTCATTTGGATTAAAACAACTGAATGCATAGTTCTTCTCCATCACATTCATGTTAAAGTTCAACCTACGAATCTGTCTGATATGTTTCATCACTTTGGCATATTCAGGCATGCTTCTACTGAAGGGCCGCCGTTACAATCTTCAAAAAATAACACACAAACTGAACCTCAGTCCTCAGAAGTCTCTGACCTCCCGTGTCTCTCTTTCAGTCTGTTCAGTGGGACACTTAGAGGACGGACTCTCCTGTTTTGCACGGCGCCGCGTCTCCCTGAGCTTTCTCGTTCTCCATCATCTTCTCGGTGACGCCTTGGTCCTTGCTCAGAGCCGCCGCCTCCATCTCCTGCCGTCTGCGCCTGGTCTCCACCCAGGGTATCAGACACAGCACGGCGCCTCCGATGAGCGGGGGGATGCCTGCCAGGTAGAAGGCCACGTCGTAGCTGCCCAGTCTGTCCCTCAGGAAGCCTACAGACAGAGAGAAGGACAAAATTTATCACACACGTTGGACTGGTGGAGATGTGGTCTTGTTATGGGAGGTAGAGCCTTCAGCTATCAGGCCCCTCTCCTTTGTAATCCTCCAGGCTCCGAGAGGCAGACACACTCTGTACCTTTAAGAGTAGATAAGCTCATAGTTAGTACTGGGTCAGGCTTGGACCAGCTCCTAGTAGCTGCTATAGGCCTAAACTGCTATAGGCCTAAGCCTATAGCAGTTTAGGCCTATAGCAGCTTAGGCTACATAAAGCAAGCTAAACCCGGTCGGACTAAAACTAGAACAGGAAGGAGTCAACATCTTCATCAAGTAGTTTCTACAGTTCTACAGTTTCTCCATGACCAGGATGCTGAGCTGTTTGATGACCTGCATCTCTTTGAAATGAAAAGGTCCTCATTGTGTTTCAGACAGAACCCCTCTGCACATGATGCTCACATGATGAGCTGATGCTCCTCAACACAGCTTCACTTACTGTCAGGCTAGTTTCTAAGAGGTCAGGCTTTTCACATCAAATATGACCTTCAGCGTACAGAACGTGGCCCTGATTGTTGAGGAAATTACTAAGACTTGACTCCACACAATAAGATTCAGTTGACTCGGATGGCTTACGTTGATGAAAGTTTATACATAAGAAGAATACTCATGAGGAGACATGATTCAACATCACAATTCTGTTCTCGTGTCTTGCTCAATCACATCTGCAGAACTTTTCGAAAGGCATCGCATATATCCTAAAAGACATTACCATTATCAGGGTCGTGTCACATTGACCCACCTAGACTAAACTGTGACGTCTATAACACTGGAGCAGACAACAAGTCTACCAAACAGCCTTACAGGTATCAGGAAAAACAGTTGACACTCTCTAAGCTGTACTTGGTGTTCTAATAACAACTGAACTCTGTCAGGTCTGACTGACATTAGAGAACAGTGAATAAACCTAGTGACATCTGTACATTATAATCTAAATAAGTACAGTGTAAGGTGTGGAAAAAAACACTAGAGAGAGACTCTTCAGTCGTCTTCAGTCGTCTCTCGGCAGACACTGAGGGCCAGATTTACTAAGCTCCCAATTAAAGAGTTTTAAATTGCGTGTTCACTCCAAAAGTTTGCACGTTTGGTTGGTGGGCGTTTTGCGGGTGATCTACTAAGAAAATTTGTGTGAATGACAACAGGTGTAAACCTTGTGGAGGCGGAACTATTTAAGTTAGGTTTTTGCGTGTTCTACTGGTTTACATCACGGATAGTTTGAACAGAAAGCAGGATGACTGCAAGCGCAAAATAGGTATTAGTGGGAGAGGCAAATAAACGCACAATACTTTTAAGTTATAGGAGATAAATTTGAATATTACAAAGAAAATTTTGGTTATAAGAAAACATCAGCATTAAACAGGGCCTCTCTTTTATTCCCTTAATCTTAAGAATGAAGTGTCATACATTGCGCAGGAGGTGCGCACTGCGTCCTCTGTGGACCGGGCGCTCTACACTCGCTGTTGTTGCGCACCAGACAGCTGGCCAGCGCTGTGTCTGATCGGACATAAATGCCCTGGAAAAAGGTATCGAAGACGGGGGTACAAACAGTGGTGAGGTACCCCAATCCAAGCGTCCTACAGAGTAGCAGCAGCGGGCTTTAGAGGGAGGTGACGAGTGCACTATGGAAAGGAGCGCAAGCTGGGGTAGAGACACACGACCCAAGAAAAAGGAAATCCCCAGTTTAAAATGTAATGTTGGTGAAAAGAGGGAAATAGGAAGAAATAAATGTCAATGTTGAAATTCTATAGAATTCAGAGGCTGTGAATGTTCAGTTTTTTTTTTTATATATGGCAACAATAGCCTGTAGTTTAATCATGGTGTTTCTCTTCCTTAACGATTAGAATATTGAATAAAATTAAAAAATAAATGCATGCCATTTGAAACATGTAAACACGTGGGGAAAAATGTGATCTTTATGCCTTCTTTTGTTGTGCCTATGTCTCCTCCTCACTACAATAACAGCAGTCTGTTGTGCGTAACACTGGTCTCCTGGATTAGCACGTTCTTTTCAAAGGTGTTAAATTCACAATCACCGCAATTTTTGTCAGGTTTGGTAAATCGCAATGTGTGTACTAACTTAACTTGTTTGCATTTTCTCCTCCCAGTATTTTGCGCGTTAGGGCAGAAACGCCCCATATTGTATATTCATTAAGGCAAACGTACTAAATGGACAATGCATGTTGTTTTGCTCATTTGAAAGACGCAATCCTCACTGCACGCTGTTAGTAGATCAGATAGCAAATTTTTTGCTGGTGGTATCAAGTTTGCACACGTTTTAAGACCTTTAGTAAATCAGGCCCTGAGAGCTTTAGGAGGATGCTGCGGGGATGTGTTTCAAGAGGATTTCTTCTTCTGATATCGGAGAACAGCCGGTAAACAGACCACTGAACATGTGACCTGTGCTTCTGATTTATTTATATAGCTATGTGTGTCATTGTATTTAACTAATGTAGACTGTGTTCAGGAATTTGCTTGAAGTTTGTGTCAATAAAAACGATAAAGGACACAGTAAAGGTTGCTGTGGTATCGAAACATGAGATGATTTGATTTTCATTAGTATGGTCAAATGGAAGTTTAAAACTCTTAATCATGACGACCCTGGTAGAGAATGATGTCTCTGTTTCTCCTCCCTAGTTGAAAGTTTAAGGTATTCAGTATGACTTTAAGATGTTTTATATTGACATCAGAGGCACATTCAGAGCGTTCTCAGTATTGAGACACTTCCTGTCTCACCTGCGATGGGAGGCCCAGCAGTCATGGGCACAGACATCAGGCCCAGCAGGAAGCCGATGGCCTGGGACACGTTGTTTGCCCCGACCAGCTCGAAGGCGATGGGGGCCATGATGCAGATGAAGCAGCCGTCGAACAGCCCCATCAGCAAGCACACGGCGATCAGACCACCGAAGATGTTGCACAGAGGGATCATCATGGACATGAGGCCGATGACGAAGAAGGAGGAGACCTGCACAGAGTACTCACGTCAAAACCGGGCTTCAAATGTTTACTTATTAAGTTTCATTTTCCTTCAAGACAAAGGGAAGTGTGAGTTTTAGTATCACAAGATGTACATGCTGTCTCACAGTTTTCAGAGGTCAAATGGTTTCATGAAAGAGGAAAAGCCAGATGAAATCACTCTTAGTCATCACTGAAGTCCAATGTGTTTCAATGCACTTTTTAAGGAGGAAGTACAAAGTCATCAAAATGTTCCTAGTTGTCTAAGAAGATTTAAGCTAGGTGTCAGCTCTAGGTTTGACTGACGGATGTATGTTGTTTAATATGCAGCAGCTAAGAAGCTAATTAGCTTACAGCTGATCTTAGAGGTCACTTATCATGCCTATAAACCCCTCTATTTCAGCCCTGCTCAGAACAGGCTGTTTCTGTGTCTGTACCTTTAAATATGTAAATGAGCTGTGTTTGACCACGCCCCCTCTCTGGAAGGGCTTGGGTGGCTCGGGCTTTCTCGCCCCATGTCCTATTGTTTACGGTGAGAAGGCCTTCTCGTAAACCACAGAGAGGGAAAGTACAGGAAATCGACATAATGATAAAAACTGACTCATAATAACTCAAATGTAGAAACATTGGACATGCATTGCTCAAGACACAAATATGACCCTGAGATTGTTTACATAACAACGAGTTATAACTTTTACTAATATGTAAAACTTTGATCTGAAGTTGGTCTGTTGTTTTTTTTTCATATATATCTAGGGCCGACCGATATGGGAATTTTAGGGCCGATATCGATATTGGGGAGAGCAAACAAAACGGCAACGGATATATCTGCAAATATCTTTCATAGATCTGTGTTCGATCTGTAAAGATAGATACAGATATACATATTTATTGCTTTAATCCCTCATATGCAGTTATAAAACTCTTGTGGATAAGATATATAAAAAAGACGAGATGGTCACCGATATTATCAGCTGGCTCTAATCTATAGTTGTGTTTGTTAAACAAATGTTGAAACCATTAAGAGCATCTTCAGAAGAAAAAGGAGATATAAGAAATCTAATGCATTCATGGGACATATTTTGGTTGGTGATCGACAGAGCAGCTACTCCTGCTGACGTCACTTCACTCAAACAGTACTCACCTGCAGGTAAACTTTGTTGACCCCGTGAACGTAGTCTGCCACAATGCCGAAGATGAGGCGGCCCACACACGACGTGATGCCGATGCACATGAGCAGAACTTCTTTACTGGTGTCTTCCCCGAAACGCTCCTCCACATGTTTCATCTGTGGAGTGATGAAGGAAGCAGATGAACACAGATGAGTCATGGCTCTGATTTGGCTTTTTTTTTATTATTTTCTAAAGATTTATTTTTGGGCTTTTTGTGTCTTTAATAGAGAGATATAACAGTGGATAGCCAGGGAGAGAGAGAGTGGGGAATGACATGCGGGAAAGGAGCCACAGGCTATAACCGAGCCTGGGCCGTCCGCCTTGAGGACTACAGCCTCCATACATGGGGCGTGCGCACTAACCACTGCACCACCAGCGCCCCACTGATTTGGCTTTTACACTCAGGAATACAGAATGTTAGAAATGCAGAGACGGAGACACAGCAGGTAACCAGATTACAGTTCTGAAAATTCATTTAGCAGACGCTTTTATCCAAAGCGACGAACATCAGAGAGTAAGAACAACACAAGCAAGGATCTAGTGAGGAGGAAACAACGTCAGGAAGTTCAACAACAAACGTCTGATCAGACACACAGGTCATCAACAACATCATCAGCTGTTCTTTAGAGATCTGATCAGCATCAAACCATCCTAAATAACGTCATTGTCAACATCAAAACCATCATCATCATTGGTGGACTTGTATATATTTTTTCTAGCCTTCTGACTGCTCAAAGCTCTTTCACACTACAGGTCACACCTACACATTCACACACTGATGGTAGAGGCTGCTGTGTAAAGAGACCATCAGAATGAAATAATCCCACTCACACATTCATGCGCTGCCGACAAAGCAGCTCAAATGGAGTTTGGCAGTAGTCCACCACCGAGGGGCGGCAGAGGATAAGAGTTAGAGACTTAGGGCCTTGTTGAAAAGGATGCACAGTGGAAAGTGAGGAGGAGGTTTACATATATCTTTAAAAACTTCACATGCCTGGGAGTGTATTGTGCTTTTCAAATGTTTGTCAGTGTCGAGGATAGTTTAATGATGAACTCTGTACTGTATCATTTCTCACAGTCTACTCATCATCATCAGCAGTGTTGTGCAGCGTGGTCATATTTCAGCATTCCTCATTTGTCTTTACTTTTTGCTGCCACTAGTTTTCTCCTTCTGACTGTAAGAAAAGTCAGTCCAGATGTGCGTGTTGTAACTCTGTCTCTGCTTTCCCCAAAGCTGCAATCTGTGAGGCCCACAGTTTGAGAGAGAGGGAGAAAAAAAAGAGGGCCTGCTGTCTGTGTGGAGCTCTGCCATCTAGTTCTACCTCCAGGCAGGCTGCAGCGGTCCTTCTCAAAAGTCTGTCTGTCTGCTGCTTCTACCCCCCCTGACCCCACACAAACCATTGTGCAGGTCACACATCCATCTGCAACGACCTCTGGATGATTTATTGTCTCTTCACACAGTGCTCTGTGTGCCCCCCCATAAGGGGAATCCCACATTTACAGTAGGAAGCAGAGGGTAATGACACTAATCAGCAGAGGAACTTTTTCATTCACACATCTGTTGAGGCCGTTTGCATCAGAAAGATGTGTCTGACAGTTCTGTTTGAGATGTTAACATGTTGCTATCACTACTCACTCTGTGTTCATTAAGATAAGAGGCTGTAAGCTGTTTGAGGGAGGACGAGCGTTATGCCACTAATTAAAGGCATCCCAAGCCTCTAGGACGATGCATCTCAGCTTTGAAACAATGCAAGCATGATAACAGGAACACGCTTGTATCGCATCACATGCTCTGCACATGTGAATGTGTGCTCGCGTCCTGCAGAGTCCGAATAGGAAGCAGAGATTTATCTCCAAACCGTTGCACTGCAGATACAGAGGACTACTTCCTCATTGGAGGGGAGAGATGCGTCAGAAAAACACCACTGGCAGCAACTTGACGATGGAGCAGGAAACGTTCAAAGTCCCCTGAGAGTACTGAATGCTTCTTATACATCACACTGATGGGCTTAATTAAATCAACTAATTAGGAACATTAAGATTATAGAAACAGGACCGGCCTCTTCTTCCTGTTTAACTCTGGCTCTGTTTCTCACATTTACCTTTGTTTTCACAGCCCTCCTGTCCACACCATATTCTCCTCCTCTCTCCCTCTCTTTGGGATGTTAATCGTTCATTGAGTCCCGCGACCGACCCTGAGTCTCGAACCCCTGGGTTACTGATGGCTCCAGAAAAATTACGACCCCTTTCGACCCCAGCTCATCCCTCCACAATCGACCCCTTTCATCCCACCCTGCTTTGTTCTTTATCATCCCACGTGCAAGTCATCCTCCTTCACAAACCCTCCTACTGAAATCAACTTTTAGAGCGTACAATGGCGTGATATTGCAAGTAAATGGTAAATGGACTTGAGCTTGTGTAGCGCGTTTCTAGTCTTCTGACTACTCAAAGTGCTTTTACACCACAGGTCACACCTAAACATTCACACACTGATGGTAGAGACTGCTATGTAAAGAGACCATCAGTATTAACTAATCCAGTTATACACATTCATACACCACCAACGAGGCAGTGGGAGTAACTTGGGGTTAAGTGTCTTGTCCGAGGACAAATCGGACATGTAGCTGCAGGAGCTGGGATCTATCCCCCCCAACCTTCCGGTTGAGTTACGACTGACTCTACCAACTGAGCCACAGCCACCTAAAGTGAATTGTCTTTATTGACATCGGTTACAGCAGCAACATCATTTAGAAGCGTTGCAAATAAAAAAAAATGTGAAGAGGTCAAAAAAGCTCGAGCAACACTGGTAGTTTAAAGATCGACTTCATTAGACTGAGGTGTGTCGGCTTGTGGCCTTCATCAGGGTCACTGAATGAAATACATCTGGAAATGCTGTCAAAGTAAAAGTCATCTGATGATTCTTAATTAAGGTCGGATGAGTCAGATAATCAAATCAAGGCTGTTTTTAAATATTAATCACTTTTTACAGACTGCGTGAGCTGAAATGCCCAAAAGCCTTTTTTTCTATTGCTTTCGATCAGGCCCCGTTAGTATTAAACAAATCACCTCCTGATAATCATCAGCGTTCAGACATCTCTTCAGTCATCTGAGATAATAAATGATAACGCTCAGGATGTCAATATTGTTAAAGTAAACTCCAGACGTGTGTGTTTAGTCTCTTTTGATTGGATCTTATTTTATCTAAATCACTTTATTTAGTTTCTAAGTTCATTTTTACCCTTTAACCTGAATCCTCGTACTCAATTCCATTTCCCTGGATTCTTTTTCATGGCTCTGTTATCTCATTTGTCTCTGTTGTATTGTCGTCTTGTCGTGAAATAAAACACGTTGTCATCCTGACTCCTGAGTTTCTTCATTCAGAGTTCATGAAACCCTTTTTTTTTTTTCCTTTCTTTTTTTAAGGATTCGAGACCCCTTTGATTCAGACTTTAGCCTCCTTACATGGGGCGAGCAACATATCGCTAGGCTATGCTAGGCCCCGGATGTCATGAAGCTTTTCCACCTCAGTTTTGTGTGATAGTGGGCTGGGGGCTGCTCATATTGTTTTTTTGTTTTTTTTAAAGATTTATTTTGGGCTTTTTCGTGCCTTTAATTCAGAGAGAGGACAGTGGATAGAGTTGGAAACCAGGGAGAGAGAGCAGGGAATGACATGCGGAAAGGGGCCATGGGTTGAAGTGAACCTGGGCCTACTGCTTGAGATGAGAGTCTCAACACATGGGATGAGCGCCCTGCCACTGCGCCACCAGCCGCGCACCCCTGTTCATATTGTTTTATTGATGTATGCACAGCTCTTTGTGTCACATGTTTTGTATAAAAGGCGTAAAAAAATACAGTCTGACTGGGCGATTTGACTAAAAATGTTATAAAAAAGTTCATATCAGTCAATAATTATCACGATATATTTTACTGCTGTTTACTCCTGAGTGAAAGTTGAAGATTATTCTCTCTGTCAGAACATGATAAACTCTACTTGAACAGAGGAACATTTCACAATCATGAGCACAGAGCATGCTGCTGGAAAACGCTGAGAGAAGTGATACCGCTATTATCATCGTTATCGTTATATCGCCCAGGCCGAGTCTGTGAGTCGATGATTTACAGAGAAGTGAAGGAGCATTTATTGTCAGTTGCTGTTTTGTGTTTATGGTTGAGTTTTTATTTTAGCGCACAGTAATTGATCCATTAGCCACCTGTGTGTGTGTGTGTGTGTGTGTGTGTGTGTGTGTGTGTGTGTGTGTGTGTGTGTAAAAACAGCTGTACAAATCTAATCTAATGACTCGGTTCTTTAATAATTCAGGCTCCTGATCTCCCTATTAACTGTTTAGTTTGTGGTTTCTTTTATGTGGTCATTTACTATTTAAACTCTTAATAATAATCATAATTACAGTCAGCAGATATTACTAGCTGCTGTTTACACCCCCTCTCTTTAAACTTATTATAATGCATGTTTATCTTTCTGTATCTATCTATCTATCTATCTATCTATCTATCTGTTAATGAGGAGATGGTTGTGTTTTCCACTGCAGGAATCCACTGTGGTGCAACATGTTGGCAGAATCACTGCAGGAGTTGACCACTGTACTCAGGTCAAGTAGATCATGCAGCCAAGACTCAAGATAACATGGCTGACATGTGAGTCCAAGGAAGCAAAGGGCTCACATAGCTACTGCACGTAGATAAGATGTGTCTACTCAGATAGAGAGAGTCCCCCCCCTGCGGCGTGGATGGCTGGACAGAGCCCATGAGGAGGAAATCCATAGAGGCCTGTCCCTCATGTCATCGTGACCAGCTGGGTAAAGACTAGTGTATTATGTGAGCAGACATTCCCTATTGAACTCTCTGACTCATTCACGCGCTGCATCAATCAGTTTGTTATGTATTCGAGGCTTCCTGTGAGGTTGTAGGTCGGTGCTGTGTCACGTGTTTATGCGTTACAAATAAAAAACAGGAAAAACAAAGCGTCCTCCGTGCTGAAGCGGCCTGGGTTACACAGGGGGGGGTCAATGCTTGGAAAGATTACTGCACCCTGTCCAAAACTACTCAGAGAGTTACAGGTGGAAGCTGTGGCTCTCTGTGTTTCTGTGGTCTAACTACAGTCCCTTATAGCTTCACCTAATGGACTGCGCTACAATGCCAACCAGTCTCTGTAACCGAGGGATGTGCACACTTAGTCGACTAAACGGTTAAATGTCATCACCCTCCATATTTGGCTCCAGAGTTATAGTCAGTTAAACGTATTCAGAATATTTTGGCTCTCTCTTTGGACGGTCAGATGTCGTGCTCAAACTGCAGCGCAGCCACCCGCCACTAGCCGGGGTTGTAGCCCCAGACTGGCTGTAGCTGCGGTTAGTGTACCTGCTCTCCTCGCTCTACAACCAGAATGCAAACAAGCTCAGTGCACGGATAGCATCTCGTAGGAGCAGTGCTGCGGTTTGTCAGTATTTTGACCTCTGAAACGGATATTAAGTCGATGTAGCCTGTGTCAGGTTAAAGTGTCATATCGACCGGAGCATGTGGACGTTCACCTGCAGGGACAATTGAAGGCTGGCAGTGCTAGCACTGCTAACATTAGCATACTTAGCAAATCAATTAGTTTACCTGCTGTTCTCAGTTTTCATTATGTTCTGAGGTTTTTTTTTATACTTTAGAACTAGTCAGTAAAACATAATTAAAATGTCTATTTAACTGATTCAGAAATAACCCGGCTAGGAACTGTAACCAGTGTTACAGTAAGTCGCACAATTTCAGGTGTTTTAGGAGTGGCTTTAGCATTTGGATCGCTACACTGTACAGTGGCTGACTGATGCACACTCTACTTATTATTTTGGGGCTTTTTATGCCTTAAGTTGGAGACAGGACTGTGGCCAGAGCCAGAAACTGGGGAGCGAGAGAGTGGGGAACAACATGCAGGAGAGGAGCAACAGGTTGGACGCAAAACCATGCAGCCCGCCTGGAGGAGCCTTAGCGCATGGGACGCTTCAACAGCAACACAATAAAGTGAGCTACAGAGCTTCACAGGTTAAAGCTTCAGGGAGTTGATGGCAACCTTAACAAACAGACATGTCTTAATGCTTTCTGCTAACAGGTTGAACTTTAGTGCATTGTTTCATCACTTTTGCAAATGTCACTCAGATGATTAAATCCAATGTGTCCGCTGAAGTAATAAGTAGACCACTCACATCCAATGAAATGCATGACCACAAATCTTTGAACAGAATTTTTAAAAAGAGGGAGAGATCCTTTATCCATGTTTAATGCAACACGTGCTCTGCTGCTGTGACAAAAATCTGCTCAAATGAACAAGATGTTCTTTACTCATTTAAATACAGACCTAAGAAAAACTTATTTACAGTTCAGAGCATCATTAATACAACCTTTACAACCTGCTTTTTTATAGTGTGTTTGAGTGTTAAGTTTCCCTTTCCGAGCCTCACGCTGCACCACACCACACCACACTCTCTCCGCTCTCCCTGTTATGTGGTCATTAAACATCCAGCACTCCTACAGCCCGCACACCGCAGCCCTGCAGGAGCTCCTCATTAAACACTCTGAAACGAGCTCAGTTTAACACAGAGGTTTCTTCCTCATTTAATGTACCGTTCTGTCTGCTGCTAATGCTCTCTAAGGACAGCAATGTGGTCTTTTTGTAAATAGTAAGCAGAGGGAGTAAATTCATTTTCTTTTACCACTCTGCCCTTGAGAACAGCACACCTTTTATCAAGCTGCTAACAGGGCAAACACAGACATACCAGCGTCTTATCACGTAACAGCAATACCTCCAAGTGTGTGCATGTGTGTGTGAACTTTACTCTTCAGTCTTCTGATACATACCGCTTGATGTGGAAATAGTACAACACACACAGAGCTGTGTCAGTGGGGCTCTTAAAGGGACACATTTCATCCAGACAACAACTCTGAACACATATACACACACACACACACACACACACACACACACACACACACACACACACACACACACACACACACACACACACACACACACACACACACACACACACACACACACACACACACACTAATCGACTTTACAGCTGTGTGATGACACTTTACACCTGATGTCGACATATCGACTGAGCAGGACTTTGACAGTCAATAGACCTGAGAGTTTTTTGACTTTTTTCTTCGTACTCACTTATATAAGAGTTGTAGCACGCGTGTTATTGTTGCATACTTGATTGAAACTGTTGCGACCTGCTCTGTCTTTATGCGTTAACTTTCTGCTTTCAGCTGCATCTGGATTAGGTTTTGCAAAACCTAATCCATATGCCTTTCTTTTTGGCTGGCTGCAAAGCATTCCCTTCTCCCGAGGTTTTACTGTATGAAGTATGAAAACTTTTTCAGGGCCTGATAGGACTCCCCTCCTGACAAAATTAACATGCTGTTTGACCCATGTATTTTTTTTTGTCACAGGGTCAGGGCTAAGGAAGTGGGGGGGTTTGGGTGTTTGGGCTTTGTTTCTAGGGAAGGACGGGTGCTGCTGGGGCTATAAGGCCAGTGTTGATGCTGAGGCTGCAGCCGGGCCCCTGTTGTGTCCGAGTCTGAGTAGCAGACACGGGTGTTGGGAAAACACAGGCAGTGATCCCTGGGACAGGCTGATCTCCTTCCAATAACAGATTCATCGTGACCAAATAAACACACACCCTATGAGTCCGTACAGCTCCTCCAAGCTCCACACTGTGTTTCCTCCAAAATCACATTTCCCATCCTGCAGCCGAACTAAAGCGGGACTTAGGGAAAGTGACACCTGTTTACAGAACTGTGCCTTGACTGAAAGGAGAGCTGCAGACAGCGTCTTCCTGGTTTATTAGGTAACATTCATCAGGACCACACAGCTGAAGTTTCTCATGTGGACTCATGTTGCTATGACTCACAGTTTGGGTCATAAAGTCACATCAACACTTTCATCATGCAAACAGTAACACTCAGAATAAGAGTTTCAGCTTTTTCATTCAATGCCTACATGGTGTCACAATAGAATAAACTTTGCCCATCAGGGACTCGTGCCCAGAGCCGAGTCCACTTGACCCCAAAATCCGGTTCTCGGGTACCGTGCCCGAGTCCACTTGATAGGTGGTCTCGGGCACGATGTGTACTCGAGTGGACCGTGGAAGAAAGTGGACTGCTCTATGACAAAATTCTAAACGGCTCATGTTGCCCTCAAAAAGTTGTATCCGTGCAGCATGGGTCCATTTCATCCTCTGAGCTGCGCGGTTGATGAGAAGGTCGTTGTCAGCGTCTCAGAAATCACTCACGGTACGAAATAATCTAGCCCAATGTGAAAACGCCCATATATAGGGGAAAAACTTGCTGAGATGAAATATCTCTTTCCCAAGAACATCCAGGACAAGACAGGCAGCAGTATATCTTGTTGATGGATTTAGATTTTTGGGACATTCAGGCTCTGATTTCAATCTTTTCTTTGTTTGTTTAGCTGTTATCTCACAGCTCAACAGAGGCTGGAGAACCGCCTAATAACAAGCCGTTTTCTTTTTTACTTAGCCCTTCCCAATGGGCAGAGGAAACCTTACAAATATGGTGATTTAACTGAAGTACACGGGAGGACTCATAAACTATTTCATGCTAACACTCCATCCCATCCCTGGATGATTCTGGTTGGGCTTCCTATCATCTTTCACATTTATAAAACTCAAGTTGTAAGGCTGTGGTTTGATATTTGTGTGTTTGAAGCTTCCTAGATAACCTCTTGTCCTTTCCCCTCCCTCACATCCACAACATGGGATTCAAATTCTGGGAAATCACATCATGGAATCTGCCTGTTTGCGTTTACGTGTTGCTATTTGTCATCAGTATATGAATATGTGGTATGAGTGAAGGTCTGTGAAATGAAATTCATACTGAGGGGGCAGAGGAAGGAAGAAATATGAAGGAAAACATGAACTCACCAGATGAACATACGGCACATAGTAGCCATAAAGGGCTGCAGGGATACCGAAGGCCCAGATGCGATATCCCAAAGACTTCCAGATGTTGATGTTGAAGATCTGGCTCATGGGTGGAAACCGGCTGGTGCGGGTTTGGGAAGGTTGAACAGGCAGCAGGGGCTTGTAGGTGAAGCCAGCCAGCAGCAGCACAAACATGAGGATGCAGAGGACACGCATGGTGTTCTGGAGGCCCACCTCCTCCAGCAGGCGTGACAGAATGAAAGGGAGGGTGATGGTGAAGATACTGCTGCCCGCTGTCACGATGCCGTTCACCAGGCCCAGGCGCTTCTTGAAGTAATGGCCCAGGATGACCAGGCTGGGCTGGTAGGCGAAAGAGCAGCCGCAGGCAAACACAAAACCATAGGTGAAATACATGGGGCCCAGGGACCTGTGAGGACAAACAATAACAGGTTACATCACTGCCCAACCTTTTGACCAACAGCGCACATGACTGTGTTTCCAAGCCGCATCCTGAAAAGCAAGTCAACATGGAAGTGTAAAAAAAAATAGATGCAGTTCCTCAAATAGCCACTTGAGGCTGTATCAAGAAGTGAGTCGACCCTAGAAGAGTCCCATGTTAAACGCTCATCTTGAAAAAAACATGTATACAGCCTGAGACTACAACCATATTTCTGGTCTCTGTTGCCCATTTTCCTCTTCATGAAAACTATAAAGGTTGACTCTTGGCTAAAACATTTTCGTCTAAGGCACAGTGTCCACCTGAAGAAAACTGCTGCATGTCCAATCCTGTCTCTAGGACAACAGTCTGTGGACAATGACCACTGTATGACCATCACTGCTCCGTTGCTTATTACTTACTGAAGTCTGAAGAACGGTTTCCCAACTCAGAAACTTGGGCCATCCGAGGAGCACATGAATAAAGCATTAACCTTGGGCACTATATTTTAAGTCATCGATGGGCATGGCTGATGGCTACAAACTCTTGGAGTTGCTTATATTTGATAGCTTCAGGTAAAGCCTGTCAAAATGTCTGTAACAGCTGCACCATTTTCTCAAATCAACAAACTACTAAAATGTTCTGGTTTGAGTGACAATGAGCACAAGTAGCACATTAAGAAATGAAATGATTCATGTGTTGTGGTGAAGATCCGAGTTACTACAGAGTTGTAATTCAAAGTGGCTTCAGAGTCCTGATGTGGTGAAATAAATGTGTCAGCTTCAGAGTATAACTTGCCAACAATAAAATCACATGACTTAGATATTGTGTAGTTTGCACTGTCAGCTGTCGGCCGGCCCACTTTGTGTTTGTGAAGTGCTGATGTCAGTCACTTTACAAGCAGTAATCAAAGAGTTTTTATCATTGTCTCACCTAAAAGTGATGACAGAGAAATGCTTGAGGAGCACAAGCCACTTTCTTTGGATCAGTTATTACAGCTCAAGTGTTTCCTCGCATGTGGACAATGGAGGATTCCAGGAAATGATTAACGATGGGATGTGAAGTACAGGACCTCTTGCCAACCGAGTCCTAATGAAAACTACAAGGAGTGTCGCCTTGTTTCTGAAAATATCTGCTCCCCCTGAAGTGTCCCCGACTATAGAACATACTTAGTAACACTTATTCCTTATGTTTATATGATAAGTTTACAAACATTAAATACATCTCCATGAAGGTATTTTAATATAGATTGAACAAGGAACACACCAGGTTTTTTTACAAAGTCATCTCACCACAAAAGGACCGTTAACAGTTGCTCTGGAGCTTCCCGCTGCATCACATGATCTTCCTCCGATGATGGAGTTTCCCCAGCGTCATGGTCATTTTGTAATAAGTGTCATAGTTGTCAAAGATGGGTAACAATCAGCTAAGGAAGATCATGGGATGCCCCCAAAACAGCTGCAAAGGCGACCTTTTGTTGAAGCTTGAAATGAAATATACTGCTCAGCAAAAGTTAAAGCACCCGTCACACCAATAGACTTAATGGATGAAGCATGAGATACGTCAGCCATCTGTTCCTGCAGGGGGCTCTGGAGGCTCATCAGCAGCAGTCTCCATGCTTGAAATGCTGTCTCACCCTAACTTTCAGTCAACCTAACGACTGAGAGCTGGAGCTGAGGCCTTTTGAGAAACCGTTACATCGCGGCCACCTGTCAATCACGTCGGCTACATGCGTTACTATGGATACTATGGGTATCCTTCATAACATCAAAACAGAGCCGTTTAAAAAAAAAATGCCCCCCCCCCCCATACAGTGTGTGCCAGTGTTGACAATAACTAATCAGACCTATTTGTTCTTTTGAACCAGGCTGTAAACATGTTTATTTATGCTGTAAAAATGGCTTTTTGCCAGTTATGTGTATGTGCCTCAGTTGGACACTTGAGGAACTGCAGGAATTTGCAATTCCCCATTGGCTTGATTTTTCCAGAACACCATAACAGCTGGGTAACTTCTTCTAGTGTAAATAAATAAAGGGGTTCAACTGATGAGCTATGAAACAGAAACTAATGCCGAGGTCAGACTGAACAATAGCAACATGATCATATCATGAGTGTAGAGAGTCACAGTAAATGGCTAACAAGGACTCATCTGGGGAGCCTCACGACCTCCTGACAGAAAGTCTAGCATGTTTGATTTTTTTCTGCCTTCTACAATGTGTTCTGTCACATCAGTGCTGCTGACCAATGAGAGAACAGAGCTCTGCACGGAAATGTTTGTCCAGCCCTGGTAACATCAGTTTCTTTCTGTTTACAGTCTTCTTTCTGTGTGTTGTGTAGCCCCACCCCTCTTACTGTAACTTCCAACGTCATCACGTCGGTCATGATGATTGGTCGGGTACCACTGTGTCATGTCTGTCGGTCACATGACACATGTGACTCTGTGATCGCCCAATCAGACACTGAACATTGAAACACACAAACGACCTTTGAGTATTCTGACCTCGGCAGAAGTTGACATTGTGGTCAAATCTCATTCTCAAGGTCAAACACAACTTCTCTCTACATTAGAGAGTCATAGCAGAGAGAATCACTCCCATGATTCCCCCTTAGTCATCTTTGGTCATCGTTTTGATTGAGAGCCCCCTGGTGGTGGAATTTACATGCTGTGTGTTTAATGTGTAGGAGTTAATAGAAGTGTTGTACAAGCTCCAATTACATTTTATTTTAGGAAGATCCATATTCTTTGTGCAAATCACTTTAAACCTACAGAGAATGAGGATCATCTGAATCTGTAGTTATCATCTGTTGAGTGTTGTAAGAGTAGCTCTCATATTTTCTGTTGTAATGAAGTGACATCATTTTGAAATGTAAAGCTGAGTTCCTTCCTTACGTGACAAAGGAGCTGGCGAGTAGGCCGACCAGACCGACAGCAGCGCCACCCACTGCTGTAACTCTGCAGCCGAGGACGTCTGTGAAGACGCTGACGATGGGGGAGCAGAAGAAGATCATCCCCATGGAGAGGGAGCCCACCCAAGCTGCAGGAGACACAGACACACAAAGATTCAGAAAAAAATGTCACACAACAAACTGTAAGCCAGAGTGATCATAGCTTCATCACCTCCTAGACAAAAAACAAAACAGTCTCCAGGAAGACTCTGTTGTGTGATATTAATACTACAGATGTTGATGTAACAAACACATTGCGCTTGTTTCCATGAACACAGTGGAAATGACAACCTGTAACAGCAGGGAAACAAATCAAGCAGGAAGGAGTGATCAGGAAAACACTTAGCCGTAAAAACACTAAGTGGGGAAAACATTCTGTAACATTTAATTTTACCTTCCTCTGTGTACAATCAGAAATGACTGAGAAACATCCAGACAACAAACACCTCTTATTGTTCATTGTCAAAGGCACACCAAAAAAAAATATTCCCACAACACAGTCGTACAAATCTAGATGAAAAACAACTGAGAGAAAACTAAGACGGCCTCTGTCAAGTATATAATATAGACGTACAATCACTTATGTTCCTCCATACATGTGTGGTGGTGACTGTGTCTGCAGAGACTCTGACCTCTGACTGGATCTTACTGTTCTGGTTTGTTTTGGTTGACCCAGGACATAACTGTGCAGGGGGAGCTGGTGTGTTTCCCAGAGCCAATGACTGTCCAATAACAATGGATGCAATCAAGCGATTGGACGCGATTCAAGCCAGACGAATATGACGCATGCAGTCAAAGCACAAAGAAGAGAAAAAATATAAATATCATAGAGGGGCAAAACGCAGAGCGGATAAAGCTCGTTCTAAAATGAGGGTAACCCTTGTGATGGACGTGGAGTTGGTCTGCTTTCTGTTGGACAGGCAGAACACAGGCGGTTAGCTTGTGCTAGCGGCATTAGCTTGCAGTTTAGGTACAAGCAGTAAACATAAACACTACGTCCTGCAGTGAGTGTGCGCCTCTGTTGGCTATGAGCCCTGCAGCGAGTGTGAGAGGGGCCCAGTTTGAATGTTGTGTTTACAAACTTCAACGAACATTTCTACTGACTGAATCTGTAAATCCATCAGTGTGGCCCAAAGAATGACAGTGTTACTGCAGCCTGGACAGAGGACAAACTTGTTTATTCAAAAAATATGTGAATCATGTAGAGGGAAGGACGATTATCTGAATCTATTTCAGGATGGGGATGTTATCTCAGACATATAAACCAAAAATGTAATGATCATTACATTTTGCAGACAGCAGAGATATGACATTCATAAGAAAAAAAAAAGTGTGAACAGGTGATAATGATGATGTCATGGTTAGGCTGACCTTCCATCATCCCCTCAGCATTTGATCCTGTTCAACATTTGTGTGAAATCATGTCGTCATCATAACTGAGGATTCAGTCTCGAGTTTAGAAGAGAAGAGGCTTCGGGGGTGTTGAGGGTTTTTGTCTTATGGTTCAGAGGCGCTGGTGGCCCTAGTGGTTAGTTTGTGTACAGATGCTTAAAGGCCTGTGTACCCCATGTCCTCAAAGCCAGGGACCTGGGTTTGAATCCTACCTGCAGCTCTTTTCCCGCATGTCGTTCCCCACCACTAGTTTCTGACTCTATCCATTCTCCTGTCCCTCTGATAAAGGCATAAAAGGCCCTAAATCTTAAAAACTAAAAAATGTTTTTAAAGAACAATCTCTTCTTGATTTTTCAAGACAACAAAGTGATAATTGTTTGATTCTTAGCCTGAGGATGTAGCTTCTAAGAAACGTCAGTGAAGATAAAGCTCTGACCATCACCACAGGAAACATCAGCACTTGTTTGCTGCACGCTCAGCAGTCCTCTGTGAGTCTAAGGTTAAATACCACTGTCACATGCTGCAGTGTACAGACCTCCACTGCAAGTTCAGCTGCACTGGACACATTTACTGCAATTCACACAAGCCATTCAAGGGTTGTTAAAAGAGAATAGAGTTGATATACCTGCAGGCTGACTCACACATAATCTGAGAAAACTACATGTGGCTCTGAAAAGCCTCATAACCAGGAACAGAAGTGAAAGCTTTTGACATATTGTTTCTTATTTTAAAAGATGTGAAAAACAACAACACTGACTAAACACACAATAGCACAAGGCCTCATGCAGTGCTCTTTGACCCTATACTAGCAGGATGAGTAAGCCTGCGGTGAGTGACATGTTTTGGCAGCAACAAGAACCTGAGGGACTTCGGGTCTCCAAAGAAATCAGATACTAGATAGTGTAGGAGGCAAGCACAGGTAGGACTGAGAATGATTAGACAGCGGAAAGATAAGCCAGTTGTTTTTCCCAGCTCTGAGGGAAGGTGAGAGGAAAACTGTCGAGCTGCTGTTTTTTTTGTCTGTTTTTGACATGATTAATGTAAAACTCTTCTGTGTGAGTTAGTCCCCCCCCCCGATGCTGTCAGAAGACCAACACACAGTCTCCTGTTACGTCATAACAGAGCTGAACTTAAAAAACACCCTGCAACACTTTTATTTATCTTAACTCTGATATAACCAGCTGCCTCGTATCTCATGTCAGACTACAGAGGACACCTGCATTGTAATGATTAACTGATCAGATCAAAACCAAAAAGGGGAATATCATCCTGGCTGAAAACAAGACCCTATTAATGACAGACTGCTTCATAAAAGGTTTGAATTGCTCGGGGTTAAACTTGGGGAAATGGCTGTAACACATATTTTTTTGGTACATCAAGCCACCAGGAAGTGAACCAACAGTTAAAGCCAACTTCACATGGTTGCTGACCCTGGTACTGCAGCGTCCTGTGATGTCATTGGGCCCAAAAATGACTTTTCTCCATAAGCTTACATTGAGAAACAGACGTTTATAAATCAGTGACTCCAAGTTCACATCCTCTATGGGCCCAGTAACCTGGAAGTACATTAACGGCTATCTCGATTAGAGCCCCCTGTGCATTTAGTAATGAAATAGTCTGCAGATCGATAATAAGGGGAAAAAGAAGTGAAGCAGGTATATGCATGGATGGGCCGTCTTACAAAACAAGATCAAAAGAGTGATTTCACATTTTTTAAACAAAACCCCGGTGTGTACACAGTTAAATATTCTTTCTGGTGTAAATATGAAATGTTATAGTCTTTGAGGTGCACAAGTTTAATTTGAATATACAATAATTAAAGGCCCCTCTGGTAGTGATGCCTGTCCCAAATAATTACAGGGTCATGTCATAGACTGACACAAATAAAAGCATGGGCTGTTAATATAAGTTTTACAGTATTCAAAGAAATTTGGGCCTGCTTTATGTTCTGTAATACATGAATGTCTGCATGTCAATGTGGAGATATCACACTGGATAATAGAAAGCTTTGACCTACACACACAAAGTGAGGGAAGTATCAAAGGTATATTCACCACATTTTAAGAAAATCCATACAAAGCTTCTTCTTCTTTTTTTTTTTTTTTTTTACATTTTAACCATAAATGTCGGCCGTCTACGGGGCAACATGCTCCATCCAATATTTAGCAGACGATTCGGGGCTGCTCTCACTATTACCCATGCCGCTGTACTAAAATGTATTACTATGTGTTTACGCTTGTTAGTTATCTTTCTCATTAAAACAATGCCAAACTGTGTCACTCTTGATGTTTGAGTTAAAGCAGAGCTGCCAGGATCAACAGATGTTCAGTGGACACAGAGCCGACATATCCCTCATAGCTGCAGCAGTGTCCATATTCATATTTCCACATGTGAAAAACTTGACGTGGAGCCTATATTTAGGCTGGATGCCTTTCTCTGCTTTCTCTGTGTGAGCTTATAAACTCTCTGGACCTAATCCAGACAATGCAGTCAGAAAAATGTCAAATTCACAGGGGTCCACTGTGCCTGGTCTCATATTTGTGGGGATATCGGCTCACTTTTAAGCTACATAATGCAATAAATGTCAGAAAACGAGAAAAGGATCCCTCAGGGACAACAGGAAATTTGCTGTTCTGGTTTCATCTGTCGGGTCTCTCGGTTTAAAAGCATTTACGCTTCATAGAAAGAGGAATTCCAGCTTGAAAAATGTAATATTAGGATCCTCTCTCTGTCCCAGTGACATCCAGCGTTAGCCGCAGGCCCAGCTTGGACACTGACAGATGAGGCAGAGTTGCCTGAAGTCTGTCTGCCTTGTTACAGATTCCTTGTTAAAAAAATCCTCTGCCCTGAACCCAGTCACCCCGATGAGTGAACCTACAGCAGAGAAAACTGCAGAAAAGTCTGCCTCCTGCTCACCAACCAGAACAAAACCAACGCTGATGAGAACTCTTACAACAAGTGACCAGACAGTTTGAACTGTTCCTTACTTTCAGTTAGTTCCACTGTTTATGTAAAAGGTTCAGGTCACTGTTTCCTCTTCTCTTCAACACTTCAAGCCAAATGACTTCACTTGTTACTTTGAGCTAATTATTTCAGCCACTCACTCGCTGCTCTCATCAACTGTTACTTTATAACTCTTTCATCCGTTAATGTTTTGCTCTCCAACTGAGTCGGTCGTCTCTCAACCCGAAGGTCAGGGGTTTGATCCCCAGCTCCTGCAGCAACATGTCCAATGTCTGTCCATAGAAATCCCCCAAATAAACCTCAAAAATAGTTGGCTGGAACACGCTGATCAACGCAGACATAAGTGGACAAGTTGAGTAAAGATAAGATTATGTACTTCGCTTCTGATGTGTACATAAATCAAACGTGTAAATTCTTGACTGTTATTTTTCAAATCATAAGAAATGTTCCTGGTGGCGCCTATAGCCTAGTGGTCAGTGCACAATGACATGCACAGAGGCTGAAGTTCAGGGAAGCAGACAGCCCAGGTTTGAGTCCGACCTGTGGCTCCTTTCCCGCACATCATTCCCCACTCTCTCTCTTTCTCCTCCCGATTTACCTTCCTGTCTCTTAATCAAGGCATAAAAAAAGCCCCTTGAAAAAAGAAAAGAAAGTAATGTTCCTGGGCCAGTGATCCTGAAGCCAGGGGCCAAATGTATCTTTATGTCAACCCTTGTACTTCACCGTTTTGTAA